GCAGGCTCCCCAAGCTCCCCAGTCTGCTCAAACTTTGGGCAGTTACTGGAATGAGGAAATCAGCAAATCGATCTGTGGGTAGGTAGGTCATGGGCAGTGATCTGGGCTGTATACGGGGATCCTGGGTCACATGGGTGAAGATGACACAGCCCCAGCCCATAGGGGGATTGTTTGATGGTTAGACTGATGCTTGCAAACAAGCAGAATCTACAGTGTGGGATGCTGGAGGGAGGCACAAGGCATGATCAGCTAAACTGAAGATATGGTTGTTCGCTATGGCTTCCCCTGGGGGGTGGCCCCAGTGTGGGATTTTGAACGATGAAGTGGATTTGGAAACTCCAGAGCAGCATTAACCATCTTTTGGTGGGTTATTGTTTTCTTGGATTTTCATTACTCGGTTTCCTTGGAAAGCCCCTGTCTGGCATATTTCTGGAAGGTGGGATAAGCCTGTTTTTTTGTTAATTAAATCACATTTTGAGTGTAGTGGGGGAAGCTGGCTATGTTAAGAAATTGTGGTAAATCCTCTTGTTAATCAAAGAATCCTTTTGTAATGTGAATGATGACACTCTTGTTTCTCTGTGTTTTAAAATTACATTTGATATATTTATTTCCATTAAACACCCAAAGGGGACTTTTGGAAATCAAACATAATTTCATTTGGGGGTTTTATTTGTAAATATTGGAGCACCTCATGCCATCTCTGGAGACCCTCAGGGAGGTCCCCAACCAAAGTGGGAATTAATACCTTTAATGAAGAGGGATTCAGGGCAAGAATCAGATTTCCTGCAACCTCCGCGCCCTGCTTTGGCTAGTTAACTCCTTCCTATCTTTACCTAACTCAGCTCAAATCGCACCTCTTTTTGAGCCTCAGTATTTTTGTGTGGTAACATAGGCATCACGTTAAATTGACCACTTTGTCATTTTTAAGCGTACAGTTTAGCAGCATCAAGTACATTCACATTGTTGTGCGACCCTCAGTTCCGTCCACCTCCAGAATTTCTTCATCTTCCTCAACGAAACTGTCCCAGTAAAACATTAATTCCTTGGTTGCCCCACCAGCCCCTGGAAACCACCCTTCTGTTTTCTGTCTCTGTGCATTTGACTGCTCTAGGTGTCAAACGCTGCCATTTATTTATTTATTTATTTATTTATTTATTCATTCATTCATTCATTCATTCATTCATTTAGAAAGGACGATGGGGGAGGGGCCAAGGGAAAGGGAGAGAGAGAATCTCAAGCAGGCTCCCCTCCCAGCGCGGGGCTTGATTTGATGACCCTGAGATCAGGACTTGAGCCGAAATCAAAAGTAGGACGCTTAACTGACTGAGCCACCCAGGCTCTCTAAACTTCGCTTTTATTTTAATCGGTTATACAGTACAGTGTTTAAAGAGTCAAATAGTTTTATAAGACTTGTTATAAAAAGCAGCCAAGTCCTCGTTCCTCCTTCCCACGTCTTGCTCTCCAGCGAAAACCATATTGAATTCTTTTAGTCTTGACGTTCACATCCATAAACCTAGGGAAGGTGCTTATATTGCTACTTTTTGATTTTTCTGTTTTAGGCATTGTCTATTGATTTCTCACTATGAAAAATAAGAATTTAGCTTTCCCATAACTCCTTTGAAATGTGTTTTATTGTGAAGTATATCACACATATGAGAGTCTTCCGTAGCCTGCTAAAAATAAAATACTATTACTTGTTCAGCTGAAGGACACTGTTAGAAGCCTGCATGTGCCCCTCATTGTGCTCCCTTCTCTTTTCCAGATGAAAGTACTAATCTGTGCTAATAATTTCCTTCCTTTTCCTTATAATTATCCTGTGTGTACATATTCCTAAACAATCTATTGTTGAGTGTTACCTGTTTGTGAATATAATATAAATGGAAACATATGGTATGTTCTGATTTTGCTCCTTTCACTCAGCTTTATGATTCTGAGGTTTGTCCACTGAATGCATGCAGCTACAGCTGGTTCATTTTTCTCTACTCTGTTGTGTTCGGTATGAATACAGCTACACCTCCATTTGTTCGGTCTTGTCCATATAGCTGGTGCCCATGAGCAAGAGTTTCTCCAGGCCGCATAGGTGGGAGTGGAATTGTCAGGGCATAGGGTATGCGGTACCTTTTCAAGTTCACTAGGTAACAACTGTTGGTGGTAATCTCACCAATTTAAACTTCCACCAGGAGTGGTTGAGAGAGATCACTTGTGAGTGCTCTTCTATGAAATGGCCTTGCATATGTTTTACTCGTTAAAAAAAATTGATGGACAGATGTTCTTTATATATCACGGTTATCAATAGTTTAGTGGTTTTATGTATTGTAAATATGTCTTCCCAGTTTGAAGTCAGCTTTCTTTCTTTTTTTTTTTTAAGATTTTCTTTATTTATTTGACAGAAAGAGAGAGAGAACACAAGCAGGGGGAGCGGCAGCGGCAGAGGGAGAAGCAGGCTCCCAAGGAGCAGGGAGCCCGATGCGGGGCTCAATCCCAGGACCCTGGGATCATGACCTGAGCTGAAGGCAGACGCTTAACCTACTGAGCCACCCAGGTGCCCCTGAAGTCGGCTTTCTATTCTCTGTCAAGGACCTTAAGAACAGGGGCGCCTGGGTGGCTCAGATGGTTAACTGTCTGCCTTCGGCTCAGGCCATGATCCCAGGGTCCTGGGATCGAGTCCCGCATCGGACTCCCTGCTCCTTGGGAGCCTGCTTCTCCCTCTGCTTCTCACTCTCTCTGCCTCTCATGAATAATAAATAAATAAATAAAAATCTTAAGAAAAAAAAATCTTAAGAACAGAAGTTCTTAAAATTTAATTTAATTTAATTTTGTTGATTTTATCCATCTTGCCCTTTATGGGAACCTGTATGTTCTTTTTTTCCTTATGTCTTATTTACCAAAATTATTCCCCATCCCAACTTCAGAAAATATTCTCTATATTGTCTTCCAAATGTGTTACAGTTTTGCCTTATACATGTGAACATTTTAATCTACCTGGAATTGATTTTTATGTGTGGTGCAATAGGGATTTAATTCCATTTTTTCCATCTACATCTACAATCATCCCAGAAACATATATTGAATAGTCTGTCTATTTCACAGTGATCTGCTATGCCAAGTCTGCAAAAAAGGAAGTTTCCAAATATGCTTGGGTTTGTTTCTGCACTCTATCTGTGCCAATACTATAGTGTCTTAATTACTATAGCTTTATAATATGTTTTAATGTGTCATGTAGAAAAGTCCTCCCACTTTGTTTTCAGAATTGTCTTGACTCTTAGGATGTGTGTTTGTGTTTTTTCGTATATATTTTTATCAGCTTGTGAAGTTTTGTGGAACTGTTGGGCTTTTGACTGCAATTACTTTGAAACTCTAGATCTATTTGGGATAGCTGAAGAATAAGTACACTAAGATAAACTGCAGAACATCCAAGACAAGAAGATCTTCAAAGCAACCAGGGATCAGAAAAGGTCACCTGCTAAAGAACAGTGACTAGACTAATCAACTATATTTTAACAGTAAAAATGGAAGCCAGAAGACTGTGGGAGATATTTCCAATGTGCTGAGAGTAAAACAATAATCAACCTGGAATGGATACCCAGTTAAACTATTTTAAGAATGAAAGCAAAATAGAGGTGCCTGGGTGGTGTGGTCGGTTCACTGTCCCGCTCTTGGTTTTGGCTCAGGTCATGATCTCAGAGTCATGAGATCGAGCGAGCCCCACTTCGGGCTTTGCGCTCGGCACGGAGTCTGCTTGAGATTCTCTCTCCCTCTCCCTACCCCTCCCACTTGTGCTCTCTCCCTGCCTCCCACCAAATAAATAAATAAATCTTAAGGAAAAAAAAAAAAGAATGAGGGGCACCTGGGTGGCTCAGTCGGTTAAGCATCTGCCTTTGGCTCAGGTCATGATCCCAGGGTCCTGGGATTGAGCCCCGCATCAGGCTCCTTGTTCATCGGGGAGTCTGCTTCTCCCTATGTCTGCCGCTCCCCCTGCTTGTGCTCTCTCTGACAAAATAAATAAATAAATAAATAAATAAATAAATAAATAAATAAAATGAAAGCAAAACAAAAACTTTCAAACAAATAAAAACAGAGAACATCACTAAAGGAAAATTTCAAAAGATCTACTTTGAGCAGAAGGAAAATGACCCTAGATCCTAGGTATATTCTCCTAGGAGGAAGATCAGGAACTGGGCTTGAGAGAACTCTTCCAGGGGAAAATCTGTTTACCGTTCAGGTGTCTGGCTTTTATTCCTTTTTGAGATCTGTAGATTCTTACTCTCATGCCAACTCAGTGATGCCTTTTAAGAGTTACTATAAATATGTTATCCAGCATTTTAGTTGTTTCACGTGGGCAGGATTGTTGGGGCATCTAAACCCCCCACCTGCAGGAGATAAAAGTCCTCCAACAGAACTTCTTTGAGAAAACTCCGTGTCCTCAGTCTGTATGGAGTCCATGGTACCTCTCCTCATGGCATACTGTAGCACACACACCAGCTATATTTTTACAGTTATTGCATGCTCTTTAAATTAATTGTCTACTTACCCCATTAGAAATCTAAGGGCCAGGTCTGTTATTGCTCTCTGTTTTATTCCCACACCTTGGCAAGTGCCTGGCACATAGCAAATATTCAGTAGACATTTATTGAGTAAATGATTAGATGAATAATGAATTTTGAGTGAGAAGCCAATATTAGGTATTAAGTCAAGCAGAGCTGTGTGTCTCTGCTCCTAGTCCAGCCATTGGAGGTACTGTTGTAGGGCTGGTGAATTCCCACAGAACTCTGCTGTGTAATGTGATAGCCATTAGCCGCATGTGGCTATGTAAATTACTGAAATTAATTAAAATTAAATAAAATAAGAAATTCAATTCCTTAGTCACACTGGCCACATTTCAAGTGGCTAGTGGCTATCCCACTGGACAGTGCAGACATAGAACATTGCCATTATCACAGAAAGTTCTATCGGAAGGGCTGCCACAGAGTTCTCAAGAATTCTGAAGTGCCCTTCTCTCTTTCTCTCTCTTTCTTTTTTGCTCTTGCTCTCGATCTTTCTCTCTCTCTCCCTCTCTCTCCCCACCCCTAAACCAAAAAGACAGGGATAGTTGTCTTATTATTAGTGACTTAAATGATGCTTTTGAACAAGAAGATGCTGGGTACTTTTGGTGACTAGCACCATCCCACTTTTTTTTCTTTTAAATTCCTGAGCTATTGTTTACTAGTACACTCTTTTATTCCTATGTCTACTATAGCTGAATGTTACTTGGGTGGAAAGCCTAATTGCTTTCTTTTCTAGGTCCTTAAACCCTTTGCTAATGTTTCTGTCTGAGAGTTCCCAAAGCCAGGGTTCTAGGAGAGTTTGGCATGTCTGAGCAGCTGAACCACGAAATAATGGAGTAGGTCCGGCGGGGTGTGGGAGCAGGGCATTCTGTCAATAAAAGAGCTCCCCTCTCTGCACACATGGCCAGTTAATTGGCCATTCTGGGAAAGGATGGATGGGGAGGGGGGCTTCTGAGAATCGCCGGTGACAGTTAAGTGGCCTTTTGTTGACGTCCTCTGCTGAACAACTTTGTTGGATTTAGTCTCTGCTTTTCCTCGGCCTCCTGTGGATTTTCTGTTAGATTCATTTACCATTCAGGCATCATCTTTCACTCTCTCCTTCCAATATGACTGCTTTGTGTGCTGGCCTCGGCTTTATTCCCGCTCTTCCCAGATCATAAAGGGGGCTGTGTGGGGCTTCGGCAGGACCGAGAAATTGACTCTGCTGTCTGTCGAGAACCATAATGATTGCACTGAGCTTGGTGTCTAGCAGAAAATGCACTACCTGCACCAGCCTACTGGCGACCGGCTGAAGATCGAGGAAAGGGAGTCTTCCCCGAATTCCTTCTCATGCTATGTATCTCTTTCCTTGGTTCCCCGCTCCGTTCCCTTCTGTCGCCCTTCCCCCTGCTGCAACTCAAGTCGACCTAAGATGCAGCCGTGACTAAGCGTTAATGCTCTTGAAATAATACATTCTATTTTGCAGGCTTGGCCAAGCCAGTTCACCCAAGTTGTCTCATCTAATAATCCCCCAAACCCCTGTGAGGTAGGGAGGGGAGGTATTATTAACCCTATTTTCCTGATAAGTAAACTGAGATTTAGAGAGATTAGGGCAGTTGCCCACAGTCTTTTAGACAGGAAGTGGGCACGAGGCCTCTGTGTCTAAACCGAGCATTCTTTCCGTGGCGTCCACACCCTTATGTGTGAGGAGGACGTGGCCCAGGGGAAGTGTGAGTGGATGGGGAGGGAGAAGGAGGGCAAAAGAGAAACCTTCCATGAAGAGGGAGGAAAGGAGTGATTTCCTTGGGCCTCTAGCTCTTCTCATCTTTCTACGGAGATGGAGGATTTGATGTCCACCAGAGGCTGGCCCAGCAAACCTCCAGGGAGGAAAGAAAGCCAAGAGCCTTGTCTTCCTTTTTCCCTCTTTCCTCTTCCCAGGAGGGGATTGGCCTAGCAGTGGGGAGGGGTGGCCCTAGCTCTCCCCAGGCCCTGCGTGTGGGAGTCACACGCTGGGTCTCCCCCGAGGGAACCTAACACCCATTCTCAGGCCGGGCCTGCCGGCCTTTAGGTGCCGCGTTCTCTTGAGGCCTCGGCCATGCCTGCCCACGAGGAAGGCCCCTGAAGCTCGCCTGAAGAAAGAAGCATGCAGGGCGCCCCTGGAGGAGGCGTGGGCCCTGGCCCGTCCCCTGTGGACAGGTGGATGCTCCTGGTCTTCAGCTTTATTCTGGCAGCAGCTTTGGGCCAAATGAATTTCACAGGGTGAGTGGCTGTTCCTTAGTGCGGGGGGTGGTGGCTGTGGAGAGCTTGGGGACCAGGTGTGGGGGGGGGCGGGGGGAGGTGGCTGTCCTACTGGGACCTGGCCAAGGTGGAGGGAGTCGGTCCCTCAGTTCCCATTCAGGTCCATAATCTCCCATGCCCATGCTCAAGGGCAGGACAAGCAGCTGTGTTATTGTCCCTCCCCACGTGAGTTCTTAATCGGCGGCCCATGGGGAGGCTTTCAGGGCTCCATGAATCCCCTGATTCTTGATTATATGTAAAATTATTGGCCTATCTACTTTTTTTCCTGGGGGGAAGGTTTATAACTTTCCTCTGATTCTTAAAGAAGTTAGTAACCGCCAGAATACTAGGTCTCCCTGCCCTAGGGATGCAGTATTGTCCCCTTGTGAATAACAAGAAGCCCTAGTGTCTCACACCAGGCCCTCTAGGGACCTGTTTCTCAGCCTCCCAAAGATCATGCAAGGTGACTACTCCATGGTATGTCCACAGTGGTGATCAGAGAGGGGGTTAGTGAGGGGCTTCATCCTCCCTGATATCTGAGCCAGCCAGGGAGGGAGCCGGTGCCATGCCAGGCAGCAGACCCCGGAGGTCACAGCTCCTCCAGCAGGATGGGAAGGGGCTCAGCTTCCTCCCAAAAGTAGCGTGAGGCTGATCTCCCCTTCTGTGTCCTCAACCTCTCGAGAGAAGGCCGGAGAGGGCCCAGGGTTTGGACAGATCACGGCCCCAGGCCCTTGTATGAAGAGCACTTGGGGCCACAGTTGGTCTCCCCTGTCCCCTGGATCTCTGCCTTTCTCCCCTTCATTCCTTTTGTTCTCCAGCCCTCCTCCATGCCCCACAGTTCCTTTCCTGTACTTCCTCGCCCGTCTTGGCTCTGGGTTCATCAGGAGCTCTGCCAGGCTTTCTTTAGTCCCTTAGGTGGTCTGTGCTGGGGCTGGAGCGGCCCCTGTCCCAGGCTGGAGGACTTGTGTGCTTCCGAGAGCTATGCGTCCTTCTGCTCAGGGTCCTCTGGCCTCCCAGCCTTCCCGCCAGGTGCCCTCGGCCTGGTGTCTTCTCGCTCCACCTCCTCCAAGCAGCCCAGCCTTCCAGGAAGCCCTCTCCGCAGCTCCCTCTGCCCTCCCTGTGTCTTTCCAGAGACCAGGTTCTTCGAGTCCTGGCTAAAAATGAGCAGCAGCTTTCAGTTCTCAGGGATCTGGAGGGCCTGAAGCCCCAGAAGGTGAGGACGCCTCAGGGCTGAGGAACACGTTGTGAACTCTCTTATAGTGGCTTGCACTGTATGTAAAATTATTGGCCTATCTACTTTTTTTCCTGGGGGGAAGGTTTATAACTTCAGCCCCTTGCCTGCTCCCCCCACCCCAAGCCTGTCCGCCAGACAGCTCTGCCAAAGAGCACAACACTGTGGAAAATCACATGTGGCTCCTCTTCAGGAAAGGTTGGGAACACTCGCCCAGAAGGTTGGGTGGCCCTTCTTGGCTTTCTCCTCTGTCCTAGATGGGGGCCTGTTGAGCAGACCCCGTCAGGGGCCACTTCGCAAGTGACTGGAATGTCCCAAAGCCACACGGGAAGCACATAGGTCTCTGGGTGGGACGCCATGCTGAGTGCAGCCTGGACACATCTGTTTCCCAACTGAAATGGCTTAGCTTGGCAAACCTGTGTTTTATTTGGGTTCATCCCTGTCAGGCTGAGCATTTGTTTCCAAGAACATTGTCCTCTGCAAGTATTCCATGATGGAAAACATTCTCTTCAACTGTTAGAATAGAAGAGTTTTGTTGGAGGGCTGTTGAAACAACCAGATATTTCTGGAGGTGGCCCGCAGCCCTTGTCCCTGTTTGTTTGAGTACCCCTCTCGCCCAGGATGCACAACACTTTATAACAGTTCTCTCTGTTTTACAAACTGGGAAATTTGGATGACATGGGAATCCAGATTGGGTGCCTCCCACCTCTCCGGGGCTTGGGGACAGTGATGCCTCCCTCTTCTGACCAGAGTTCTTGTCCATGTTCATGTCCCATATGATGAGCTGTCTCACTTTTAGCAACTGTGTAGGGCTCTTGGGGTCCAGGTGAAGTTGCAATGTGTCGGGGAGGCTGAGAGATGAAGGTGCTTGGAATTACGGAGGGGAGCTCAGTTCGGGGATTTGGTTTGTTTGCCCCTGTCTTTCTGCTTGGCTTTAGGGTTCTCATTTTGGAACTGGGGCCCTTTTAACCATGTAAGAGAAGACGATCACCTGGCTCCCTAAGGTGCCTAGAGGATGGTGAGTAAGGACGCGTGATAAATGTGTCTATTTTCCTTTCCTTTGTGACCAAGGTGGACTTCTGGCGTAACCCAGCCAGGCCCAGCCTCCCTGTGGATATGAGAGTTCCTTTCTCGGAACTGAAAGACATCAAAGCTTACCTGGAGTCTCACGGCCTTGCTTACAGCATCATGATAAAGGACGTGCAGGTGAGGTCCTGCCCCAGGGCTGCGGCTAGGGGCCCCCGTTCCACATGCCTTTCTGGTTTGGGCCCGACACAGAGGAAAACAAGTCAGGGCTAACAGTGGACATCTTGTTTCTAGAGTTCCATCTGCATTCTTGTGAACCAGCTGTGGAAGGAATGAAAGCTCACACTTATCAGAGAATATTTAAATCTAGGACAGAGTCCACAGGGGGAGGGTCTCCTAGTGTGGGAATGGCGGCCGCTTGTGGGCGAGTCCTCTTGGGGAGGGATTCGCAGCTCACAGCCAAGGAGGAAAGCCGGGAGGAGGGGGGCAGGAGGAGGTAGCTCAGGTCTTCCTAGGCACGAGGAGAAAGCAGCTCTGGATGCCTCCCTTGGCTTTTCTGACTGTCCCCCCTGCCCTTGCGGTGTCTCAGCCATCCAGTACCAGAGAGTTCCTTCACTCCAGAGAAGTGGGAAGAGGTGAAAGAAACTTAACTGTGGGCCCGCTGTGGTTTCCCTCCCAACACCGGTACCGCAGTGCTCTCAGTCCTGGGCACCTCTCCCAGGCAGGACACTCCCAGGGCAATTGCTTTGGGAGAGGTGGCTGCAGACCCGCCCTCGGGTAGGGCAGAGGGAGCCTCCCTCCCGGCCATGCCAAGCTCCCCACCCCCGCTGGTCAGCGCACCTTACAGAGTCTTTTCTGAACGTCATGGCATTTTATTTCCACTGTTCTGTCTTCACGAATATCCCAGGGAGCCTCCTTCCTACAGCTGTTCTGGGGGGCGCCACGTGCTGGTTAGGCCTCTCTGGCCGCACCCCTCTGCAGATGCTGTTGGGGGCCTGTAGAATCGTAGCCACCTAGATTCCTCCCCAGCCACACTGTGATACAGCTCATCTCTGAGGGCTGGGAGTGTGGGAACCCAGTCTCCCGGCCTCACAGACTTGACACCACATGCCAGGGGATAAACGCATTAGGAACATTCCTTTCCCAGGCAACCACAGGGCTGGGCCACTTAGGTCCATTCAGAGACCTTTATCCCTCATCAGGCACATGTGTTTGCTGCTCAGCGTGGAGGGGTGGGCTCTTTCTCTAATTAATCCCCCACAAACCAAAATGGGGAAACTCCCGCAGACGAGACAGGATGCCGCATCAAAAGAAATAGCACTCACTTCTCATCTTTGGCCCAAGCCTGAATTTTGAAGTTTGCGTTTCCCTGCTTGCCCTGGAAACCCCGCAGGATTTGGCAAACAGATATGAAGAGGTCTCTCAAAATTTTCTGTTGATTTCTGCACATCAGGAATGGCCCCAGAGGCACCTCTGAGCCTGCCCACTGGTTCCTTTGGAGCTGTCATCCCCATTCTCCTCGGCCTGTCCTCTCCTGTCATCCTGGGCCTGGAATCCTCTGGGGGGGGCGGGGGGGGCGGATAATGCTTTTTACTCCGTCTTAGTAAGATGCCCCGGACTCTCAGCCGTCACCCAGCCAGGCAGGATTTTCACCAACAACTCCCTCTGTCTGCACTGCATCAAGCTCTGATGGTCATACTTAAGATCCCATTTTGGATTAGAGGGAGCTGGGGGCCCCTGGGGGAGGCTGCTGTGTTGAGTTGATTTGTGGTGATGAGGGGGAGGGTGTCCAGGAGGAGAAAAGCTCAAAGGTGCTAACAGGAGGGGAAGGCTTTGCACCACTCAGGTTGTTGGCCTCCAGCCTTATGTTTCAGTTACTGATGCACAGGCTGAATTTCTTCCGAATCTTCCGAACCTTCTCAGCCGCGGTGTTTGGCATAGTTTCTCTTGCATGGTGGGCCCTCAACTGTCGCAGAAATTACTCTATTGGTAGGTTCAGAAAGAGCATGCCCAGACAGAGACCTTGCTATTATGTTGGTCTTTGTCTCCAGAGCCCCCTCTCCCGAGCCCCTCAAGGTCCAGGATCAGGCCCCTTGTCTTTCTTTATACCCTAGCATCTCTGAGAGCACCTGCCACTCGGTTGGGGCTTAATAAATTTTAGCTGAATTAATGGACGCGGGGGAAGGAAAGAAGTGGAGGTGTGTTTGCTGGACAGTACCAGGCTGAGAGGGAGAGGGAAAAACCTTGGTGCGGGCTTTTGCTTTGGCCAGAGGCCCTGGAGATTTTTAAGGAAGGGAAGTGCCCCCCCACCCCCCAGCTGTGATCATGGGGCTGCGTGAGGTAGAAGAGGTGGGTGCATTCATTCCACCCACTGGTGCAGAGATACCTACCGTGTGCGAGGTGCAGGAAATACAAAGATAAGAACTCTGGTCCTGTATCCAGGGGCACCGGTGTCATGGGGGTGGGGAGCGGAGGGGAGTAAATCAGTGATTACAATGGAGTGGATGAGTGTGCTGATGGAGTGCAGCAGGTTGCTATGGGAGCGAGGACACGCGGCTCTCAGAAGGCAGTAATTACGGTGCGGCTGAAGAGCAGGCGAGGGCCTGGGGGGGGGCCGGGAGGGGAAGGGGGCCCCCCGATTGGCGATGAGGCTCGACCAGATCACAAAGGGCATCCTCTGCTGGGTGATGAGGTTGAGATTTTATCCCGAAAATCGTGGGGGAGCCATCGGAGGGCTCTGACAAGATCAGATTTGCATTTAAGAAAAATCCCTCTGACAGTGACAATGTTGAGTTGGGGACAGGAGCAGGGAGAGACTGACAGGAAGGAGGGTGCTGAGAAAATTGCAGTGGGCCAGGCAAGAAATTATCTGATTCCGAGTGAGCTCTATTTGCATTTAATTTTCCTTCACCTCCCCCTTTTTTTCAGCCTTTTGGTTTTGGTGTAGTTTTCTTTCTTTTTTTTTTTTTCTCTAGGATGAGTCACCATGGAAAAGCTTCACTTGAGCAATCAGCTCTGTGGATTTTAATGGCTTTTTTCTGATTACAAAATTAATAAATATTCATGTTAGATAATTTGGAAAATAGGGGAAAGCACAAAGGAGAAAACAAAAACCACCCGTGCTCTGAGCATCTAGAGCAAAACACAATTTAGCGTAAATATTGCTTTGCCAATCCACCCCCCCCAGCGGATCATTCTCATTAGCATACAAATATAGAGGTATTTCTTTCGCCCTAAAAAAAATCTGCTCTCGATCCCTTCCCTCCACCTCCAGCTATCTATCACCCCATTTCTCTGCTTCCGCATACAGCAAAACTCCTGGAAATCTGGGCTGTACTTGCCATCTCCATCCCTCTCTTTGGGCAAACCGTCCACCCCTCATGTCACCCAAACTGTGTCATCACCCACAGCTCCTAGGTCCAAGTCAGCGGTCAACTGTGAGTGCCCATTGTTCTTTCACCTTTCAGCACAACTGGTCACTCTCTCCTCTTTTGAAACATGTCCTGTCTTGGCTTCTGCCCTCTCTTGTCTTATCCCATCTTACTGGCTGCTCCTTTTCATGTTGTTTTCCTGTTTCCCAGCTCTGTCCTTTGACCTCTCCTCTATCCCTTCACCCAGGGTCACGGTGTTGAATACCTTCAGCCCCTGAATGTTCCCATACTTAGAGCTCCAGCCTGACTCCTACATTCAACCTGAACTCTAGACTCCCATAACCCACCACCTCCTCCCCCATTACCACCTGCCTGCTTAGCTAGTGGGCATCTCAGACTTCACTGTTCCAAACTGAGTACCACCCCCTGCCCGACCCGCTCCTCCACAGCCTTCTCTTTCTCAGGAAATGGCAATGCCAATCCTTCTGGTCACTCAGACAAGGAGCCTGGAGTCATCCTTGACTCCTTTCTCACATCCCACATTCAGTTTGTCAGCAAATCCCATCAGTTCTCCCTTTAAAATGTATCTGACCATTCCATGCTGCCACCTCAGGCCAGTGCGCCATCAGCCCCACCCCTGGATTATTCCGGGAGTTTTCTACTGCTCTTCCCAACTCCACCCTTGCCTCCTTGTTGCCCAGTCTCAAACCAGCATTCAGAGGGGTCCCTTAAAATTATTAGTATTACATATTATAGTCAATGATGTCACTTCTCTGCCTAAAACCCTTAATGACTTCCCAACTCAGAGTAAAAGCCAAAGTCCTTAAAATGGCTACAAGGCGCCACATGATCTATGCCCCACTCCCACATCACCGACTGCTCTCCCCTTGCTCACTCTGCTCCAGGCACCTGGACCTCCTTAATGTTCCTTGAACTTGCCTGACCCATTCCTGCCTCAGAGCCCTTGACTAGATTCATACCTCAGGGCCCTTTGCCCTTCCTGGTCCTTATGTCTGGAATGCTGTTTCTGCAGATATCTGCATGACCTATTCCCTCACTGCTTTCAAAACCTTATTCACAGGTCACCTTTTCACCTTGTTTTAAGTTGTACCCTTCTCCTACATTCCCCAATTCCCTCCCTCCTTCCACTGCCTCACTTTTCTCCTTGGCACTTACCACCTTCTAATATCCTATCTAATTTATGTAATTATGCTGTTTATTGTCTGTCTCCCCTGCCAGACTGGTAAGCTCCAGGAAGGCAGGCAGTTTTCTTTCCTTGGCTGCCATATCTTTAGTACCCAGTGTGTGCTCAACAAACGCCTGTTCACTGAAATAAGAGATTAAAAAGTGGCCATGACGGTGGCTGGGGTGGGGTTGGGCAGCAGCTCTTAAAAGGGGAGGAGGCCAGGCAGGGATGAGCAGGAGAAGGCAAGGGAGGAAAGCAGCAGTCATGGGCAAGGGCCTGAGGGAGAGGCAGAGTCCGGCTGCTCCAAGGGCGCAGGGAGAGAAGGCCTGGCCCTTCTCTTGGTCCTGGGAGGGGGGCCTTTGCTGACTGACTGTTAATGGGGGCCATCTGCCGTCCAAGTCCTCCAGATACCACTTCTCTCTGGAGGACTCCAGATTTCCTGGTCATGCCTGGTAATGACTGTTCCACCACAGAGTCCGGGAGTCGCCCCCAGGACGACCGTTGCCCTGCCTTCTTCCTCCGGCTCCTCATAGCTGAATGTTAGGCAACGGTTCAAGCACTTACCTATTAACCCTCCTAATCCTCACGAGAACACTTTAAAGAATGTGCTCAAGTGTGTGATAACATGACCCCCGCTTTATGAAGGCACACAGAAATTAATACTTTGGTAAACTGAGGCACAGAGAGATGAGCGACTTGCCCGTCCGTGATGGTGTCAGGATTCAACCTGAGACAACCTGGCTTCAGGCCCTGTACCCTCTCTGCTCTTGTGCCATCTGCGGCCTCAGCAGTTGCCGTTGTTGTTGGTGTGGGTGGATTTAACTTTGCCGTTTGGGCAGTGGGGCCACCACTCAGCCTTGACCTCTGAGGGGGTCCATTTGGAGAACCCCAGATCTGTAGCCACCGCCATGTAGGTGCGGACTGCGGTTGCGGCCCACCTGGAAGAGAAGGCCGGGGGCATATGAGGAGAGGTGCCTGCTACTGTCACAGAGCGGGAGTGGCTGGGGGGTGGGGGTGGGCGGGTGAGACGCTCCCCATCCGCTGTTACCCGGAGCCGTGTCCATTTTGCGTCTGTGGTTGGAGTTCAGCTGCCGAGTGCCGGTTCGCTTCAGGCGTCAACTTCACCTTTCCGGGGCCTCCCTCAGCCTCCTGCCCTCCTCCATCCTGGAGGTGCTGTTCTCTGCTCAGTGTTCCCATCCTTCCTTACCCCTGTCATAAATTAATTCACACCAAGGTATTACTTTCCTTGTCAGGTTATGGCTTCCAGGGAGGCAAATGGCTTACTTCTGAGCTGTTTCTTTTTCTCTCTGAGAAGCCTGACAGGGCTGTAATTAGGCTTCCCTGAGCCTGTGGCAAGACTGCATTCTTAGTTCTCTCATCTCCTTCCCTGGGCCCTGTGAAGGGAGCAAACATCTGTGTAGTTTTCAGGCCAGGGTAGATTAGTGTTCTTGGAACTGGGGCCCAGCTGTGAGGGCTGAGCATTCCCAATCTGTAAGCGGGTCTTGTCTCCATTCACAAGCCTGTGAGGGTGTTTGGAAAGTTATTTGCAGTTTGGTGCTGATTTCCCATTTGCCCCCAAGCTGTTCTGTGGAACAAAGAACAGCCTCGTGGGAGCTGTGTTCCTGTGGGCATCCCTGGGGGTCTGTGGGAAGAGCTGGGTCCTCTGGCCCTGTCTTCCCAATTTCTCCTCCCTGTCCTCCACCCTCGCCCACCGCCTCAGGCCCTCCACCAATTCCCTAGGCATTCGGATGTACGGACCCTTCACTCCTGTGGGGCCAGAGGGGGACTTCCGGGTGCACCAACCCAGGCTGCTTGCTCCGCTGCAGCTGCTCTCCACAGCTGGTCGTGCCCGGCCCAGAGTGACGTTAGGGCACGCATTGGTCATGGTGGGCTGCTGAGATTTCCGTTGGGTTCCTGGGAGAAGACAAGTCCCTTTTGTTAGAGCTTCCCAGGGTGGTGCCTGTGCCAGCGAGGATCAAGGCTCGTCCAGCCTTCCCTCACCCCACCAGCAATCCCAGCTTTGCCCAAGTGGGAATGTGCCCAGCCCAGCCAGTTCGGCCAGAAAACATTGCAGTCACCATTGCCTAACATGCAGTCGGTGCTCAAAAAGAAAAGAAAATGAGATCCAGGCATTGCTCTCCAGTCCTACTTTTAAATCTGCGAACTTGAGGGTTGTGAGCAAGCTGACTGGGGCAGCGGGGGGCGGGTGGTCACTGGGTGGTGGCCTCATCTGCAGCAGGGATGGTGGAGGCCAGAGTCCATGGCTGCTCCTTTATTTTAGCCACTAGGGGTTTTTATTTTTGTTTTAGTATTATTTATTCATTTAGAAGATCATACGTATTTTAGTATAAGCATGTTGCCAAAATGTAAAAATAGAGAAAATTTAAAAATGGCTTAATATCATAGTCTTTCTATTCTAACAGGCATTGTTTACATTTTGGTATTTTTTGACATTTTAGTGTCATGTTTTCCTATGCTTGGGGTACTGCTTTTTTCATTATTTTAAAACACCTTTTAACTGCAAGAGTAGTATGATGGACTTTTATCTGTTGTTAACATTTTACACGTTTGCTTTTGCTTGGTGTCTCTGTATACACACACACACCGCACACACACGGATAAGCATACAGTTGACCCTTGAACAACATGGGTTTAAACCGTGTGGGTGTACATGGATTTTTTTTTTAATATAAATATAGTACAATACTGTAAATGTATTTTCTCTTCCTTATGATTTCTATTTTTAAAAAGGTTTTATTTCTTTATTTTGAGAGAGAGAGTGCACAAGTGGAGGCAGAGGGGGAGGGAGAGAGAGAGTCTCAAGCAGACTCCGCACTGAATGTGGAGCCCAACGCGGGGCTTGGTCTCATGACCCCGAGGTCATGACCTGAGCCAAAATCAAGAGTCGATGCTTTTTTTTTTTTTTAACTTATTTATTTGACAGAGAGAGACACAGCGAGAGAGGGAACACAGCAGGGGTAGTGGGAGAAGGAGAAGCAGGCTTCCCACCGGGCAGAGAGCCTGATGCGGGGCTCGATCCCAGGACCCTGGGATCATGACCTGAGCCGAAGGCAAACGCTTAACAGATGAGCCACCCAGGCGCCTCCCAAGAGTCAGATGCTTAATGGACTTGGCTACCCAGGAACCCCTCCTTATGATTTTTTCTTTCTTTCTTTCTTTCTTTCTTTCTTTCTTTCTTTCTTTCTTTCTTTCTTTCTTTCTTTCTTTTTTAAGATTTTATTTATTTATTTGACACAGAGAGAGAGGGAGAGAGCAAGCACAAGCAGGGGGAGAGGCAGAGGGAGGGGAGAAGCAGGCTCCTCGCAGAGCAAGGAGCCCGATGTGGGACTTGATACCAGGATGCTGGGATCATGACCTGAACCGAAGGCAGGGGCTAAACTGACTGAGCCACCCGGGCACCCTCCTTATGATTTTCTTAATAACATTTTCTTTTCTCTAGCTTGTTTTATTGTAAGAATACAGTGTATAATACATATAACATACAAAATAATGTGTTAATCATCTGTTTATGTTACTAGTAAGGTTTCTGGTTAACAGTAGGCTATTAGTAGTTACGTTTTTGGGGAGTCAAAAGTTATGTGTGGATTTTCAACTGTGTGGGGGTCAGTGCCCCTAATCCTCTCATTGTTCAAGGATCAACTGTATATTCCTGTAGATATGTATATCTATGTGTGTGCACATATATATATGTCTATCATGCATATTATAAATAATATATGTGTTTATTATTCTTATTAGCCTTAGGGTTTTGATAGCTAGCCAGCCTTAAGGAACCCAAGGCTAGGAATAGGATATCTGGGTTCTTACCTCACCTGTGCCCCTTATTGGCTTTGCCACTGAGTCCCTTCACCTCTCCAATCTGCTTTATCTCTAAAACATGAATAGTTAATTCCTACCCTGTCATTTGGTCATCTGACTGGATCAACTGAGATAATGAGGATAGGGATGCCTCGTAAACTAAAAGGATGCTCTGGCCTGAAGCAAGGCATCGCTAAGACTGACTGGGTTGCAGAGCTCAAACCGGGGTGACTTTGGGGGGAGGTCTTCAGCCTTCACAGCTGAGTGGCCCAGGCACTTCCCATGCTGCAAGTCAGCACAGAATCCTGGGGTGTCTCTGTCCAATGTAAGGGTATGAGCTTGGGGTGAAGGGCACCTGCCCACCTCACCGAGTCCCAAGCTGGGAAAAGCGTCCCAGAACGATGCAGGAGGGCAATCCAATGCAACTACATGCCCTCCCCGTGGTCAGTGGGAAGGAGCACGTGGGGACTGAGTACCAACTCCAAATGACACCCGCGGACATTGCTTTTGGCTCACCTATACTTGTGTTTCAGAGGCAGTTAAGAAGGTGAGTAAAAGACCATTGGCACATTAATCCCATAATTATTTGGCCCTGCTTAGTCCACAGCTGGTTTTCCAGATGGCCTGGACGTCACTTGTTAGGCTACTTCCCGTGGGTAGAGTGGCTGTTGTGGGTGGGGGGAGCCCTCTGCTCCTCCAGGAGTACATGGTTCAGCTTGGGCCTTGACTCAGCAGTGTCCCTAGAGGACCAGTAGATCATGAGCACTTTTCTAAAACACTTTCATATCCATGATTACATATATCCTATGATATGGGCAAGGCAGGTTCTCACTGTCCCAGTGTTCATGCTGATGAAACTGAGGCCAAGGCCTCACAGCAAGTTGGCGGCAGACTTGGAACACAGCTCTCCGGACTCCTCGCCCTGTGCTCGCTTGGGACATGGCAGCACGAATGCTGGCTTGCCAAGCAGAGTCACCTAGCAACCGGCGTCTCCTCCCGTTGTGCAGCTCACACTCATGGTGGCTTGTTCTCCTGTGTCAGTGCTGTCTTTGTGCCCAGCCAGCGGAGGCAGGGCTCAGGGGAGGTGGGCCTGGCCCAGTCCTCCCCTTCCCTTCCAGTGTGTGCTCTTGTCTCCTAGGTGCTGCTGGATGAGGAGAGAGAAGCCATGGCAAAGTCCCGCCGGCTGGAGCGCAGCACCAGTAGCTTCAGCTACTCCTCTTACCACACCCTGGAGGAGGTAGGTCTGTCTGCCCAGTCAAGCTCTGGGCTCTGTTGTCCCTTTGGGCTCCCCGGGTCTGCAGACTCGGGCAGAGACTGATGAAAGACTGAGGTCTGAGGGAGAGTGGGGAATGCAGAGCAGACACTGGGAGAAAGACTGTCAGCTTCCAAGAAGTCCAGAAGCAAGGATTCAGAGAGAACTGTGGCTCAACAGTGCCGCCCGGGGCAGGTACGGGACAGAGTAATGGGCCTGCTAGGCAGGACGCTGAGGTAGGGACGCGTCACTTGCAGGGGGTGTTGTCTCCATAGCCAACACTGGGGCTGGGGATTCAGGGGTCTCGACCTCTTCACAAGCATTTCTGGTGTCAAGGGGCCCCAGCTGTGGGTGCTAGGGTGTAGCAGGGGCAGGAAGCCAGGCACGTTGGAGAGCCGCTTGGTAGAGTAGAACAGAGTTGCCTCGGTTGGAGAAAATGCTTGATCACAGTGACAGCCAGCTAGGGCAGCTGTGACCAACTGTGACCTGTTTATAAAGGAGAACATAGAGACGCCCAGTCCAGAAAGAAACTCAAGGCTCAGGTCCCATTTTCATGTAAAGGACGTAGTGATACTGGTATTGCCCACTCTCTGACCGTCACCCTTACTCCCTGTTTCACATGGCCTGTAATAGAAGGTCCATTTTTTCCCATGTATTTGGTAATTCAGTTATATACATTGATAGAGGAAGGGAAGGGATTAATATGGCCTGTCAATGTGTATTAGTATCAGACATAAATAACCCTGCCTTCAGAGGGCTTAGAATCTAAAAGGGCCAAGAAGACCCTAACAGCACTGCAGGGTCTGTGGGCTCTGTCAGATAGACTCAGTGGGCCCAGCAAATGGAAGCAAGAGAAACTTCCACCCCGAGAGAGCCTTGCAGGCTGACCCTGGGGGCTGAGTGGCTGATCACGCACGAAGGCTTAGCTCTGGGTCGGGTGAGTGGCCTTCGAATCCAGGCCGACTGCAGCTTATTGCCTTAGGCCTGGTGGGTGTCTTTGATTTGGGCAGTTCTCCATCTGGGTTCTTTTAGATCCTCAAGGGAGGTGGGAAAGCATTCAGGAGGGTGGGATGGGGGAGGGAGAATATCCAGGGAGACCCTGGGGTTTGCCCCTCCCTGCCTAAGTGCCTGTCTGATATACGTCATTTCTTGCAGATCTATAGCTGGATCGACAACTTTGTAACTGAGTATTCAGATATTGTCTCAAAAATTCGGATTGGCCACAGCTTTGAAAATCGGTCCATTCTTGTCCTGAAGGTAAGAGCTGGTGGCGTTGACCACTAGACTCTATAGTGAGAGCCTCCGGCATAAGGTTGAACTCATGTGGGGTCATGGCTGGGTGGGAGTTGTAGGGACAGAGAAGATGTGTATCCTCCTGCCCCGAGGTGACCCACAGCTCTGGGGCTGTGGTGTTCAGGGCCCCACCCTTGTAGGTATGGGCGGGCGACAGTGCAATGACCCGGCATATCCTCGGTCAGGAAGCAGGTGGGAGGGTTGCGAAGGAGATGGAACTGCAGGGTGGTGGTCGTGTCACCCTGGTCTTGGGATGTGAATGTGGGGGAGCCGGCTTTCTCCCTATTCCCTTGGTTGCTTCATCTGTTAAATGGGAAGAGAGGTAAATAGAGGCCTCATTTCCAAATGACTGAGGTCGTCTGGCTCAGGCAGCCCCTCAGATAGGCCTGAGTCTGTGGGGACCTCCCAGCCCTTCCCAGGGGCCACTGGAAACAGAGTTTGAGCAAAGTTGGCAGCCACCATGCCCTTGGTCGTGAGTGGAGGAGGATAGGTAGGAGTGTGAGGCACCCCCCACCCCGAGAACAATTCTTAGCGTGTGCCCTGAAGGGCGCTCAGGAGGTTGGACCCCACAGGGCCCCTGACACCCAGCTCTCAGAGCAGACAGGCGCTGTTGCCCTCAACCCTGCCCCGGGAGACTCTTCCAAAGGGCCAAGTGTCCTCCTCTCCCTTGGGATGTGACCTCCTCTATCCCTGCCTTGATTTCCCCTGGTGGCTGGGCGTGTTCTCCCTTTAATGTTGTCTAAGACCTTGCTACACAAAGTGTGGTCCTGGCACCTGCAGCAGCACCCCCAGGAGCTTGTCAGAAATGCCCAACCCCGGACCCCTCCCCACACCTCCTGAGAGTCTGCATGGTGGTGAGATCCTGGGGGATTCATGTGCCCTTTAAAGTTCGAGAAACACTAGTTGAAGGAAGCTCTGTGCTTCTGGCTGGATCACTCCACTCCCCACGTGCACAAGCCCCACTGCGCCCCAGGGCCCCCACACGTCGTGGACTCAGGCACAAGTACCTGCACATCCAGTCCCCCGCCTGGGCCCAGAGCGCCACCCCGGGGGGTGCGCAGACCTCTGGGGCCTGCTCCTGGGAGCCTAGGGACAGCCCTGCAGCTGTCTCAGTTCAAACTTGTTTGGGCCCTTGTGCTTTTACCCAGTTCAGCACTGGAGGTTCTCAGCGCCGGGCCATCTGGGTTGACACTGGAATCCACTCCCGGGAGTGGATCACCCACGCCACTGGCATCTGGACTGCCAAGAAGGTCAGCGCAGACGTTGGGGGTGGGGCAGGGGTGGGGACTATTTGACTATTTCGGGGTGTCTCCAGTTGAAAACTTACACTGGGTTTGTTCAAACGCAGGGGCTCTCTCCCCTCCTGTCCTTTGGAACAGCTGCCGTGTGCTCTGCCCTCCTTAGCACGGTGCCCACACCCAGCCTCTGCCTCCTGGTTGTTTAAAATCCAAGCCTTTAGTTCTGCACAAAGAATGTATCTGATGGCTTGATGCCACCCCTGCCTGCAGCCACTGGCTGTGCAAATGCCCTGACCCACCTTAGAGCAGAGCCCGGCAGCGCCTCCCATCCCTTCCCACCCTCCCCCACCCCACTCTGCCCTCGCTTGCAGATTGTCAGTGAATATGGCAAAGACAGCACCCTGACAAACATACTGAACACCATGGACATCTTCATGGAGATTGTCACCAACCCTGATGGGTTTGCATTTACCCACAGCATGGTGAGGGCATTTGGGAGGGAGGGAGAGGGGCAAGGGTCAGGGTCAGCTCCGGGTGGGGCGGGGGAGGATGCAGGAAAGGTCGCCATGGCTTTGGGAAGCTGAGCGGAGGTTCCCTGGGGGCTGGCGGGCGACTCGGGTCAGCTATGGCTCTTGCCCTTCCACCCCTGTTCTGCTGCCCGGGAAGGCCACTGCTGGCAGCCTGCGCCTGTCCTCGGGCCTCTCCCCACATCCTGGCTTTAGTCACAAGGTGATCTGCCGTCCTGGCCCATCCTCATGCCAGCCGCAGCCTGCCCTAGAGATTCCTTCCTTTTGCCGCTCTCTGTCCTGCCAGACCTGCCTTCTTAGGCCAGGATGTCAGAGGCTCCCACCCCTGGGGAAGGGGTGAATGTCACCTGCATGGGCTTTTTCAGAACCGCCTGTGGCGGAAGAACAAGTCCACCAGACCTGGAATCTTCTGCATTGGTGTGGATCTTAACAGGAACTGGAAGTCAGGCTTTGGAGGTATGGCAGTCTGCTGGACCTGGGGGCAGGGCTGGAGGAGGACTTGGTCCTTGGCACGTCTCCCACACGGTCAGGTTATGTGGACGCATACCTTGGGAGACGGGGTAGTTAGCTAATGCAAGTGAGTCATGGACGGGGACAGACAAACACATGCCTAGGATTGGCCGTGCGATATGGGGAGAGGTTGCACATGCGTGGTCAACATATGCATATGTGCAGGCTCCATGGGAAACACGGGAAACAGCTCCTTGCATGGGGAACTAACTGCAAGGGTCAAATCCTAAATATGGTAGGGGAAGGTACAAGATAGTCTTCAGGTTGTACCTTCAAGAGATACAAGATGGTCTTGCTGGTTGCTCAAAACTCAGTTTTTATGCCCTCCCCTGCAAATCCCTCTAAACCCCTCCTTGTAGGGAGCCCACCAAAAGAAAATGCCTCCAAACTCATTTCCTGAGAGCCAGGACCTGAAATTTGCCCTTTCAGGAGGCCAGAACAACAGTTTTAATATAGAATAAGCCAATTTCTTATCAACTCTGACTTGAGCCTGGTTTTTATTTTTTGACTTAGTTGCTTTGTAATCCTGGGCTGATGGCCTGGTGCATGTCTGCAGGGTCATATTGTTCTAGGCAGAGGTGGGCAGCTTCCTCCCAAGTTCCTTGGTGTTATTCCTGATTATCTCCCTTACCATACCAGGAGAATAGGGACCAGATGGGGAAACTGAGGCCTCCAGAAAACCTAGAGACCATTATGTGGATCCTAGAAATGCAGCAATTTGATGGGTGGCATGCTAGGTCTAGCCAGGACAGGTTGCATGGGCCCAGCCTTCAGGCTCCAGATGTGTTACCCACTACACTGGGGTGGGGTGGGGGGTCGGAGCTTGGCTCCAAGGAGACAGTGCCATTGCTGTTGAAAAGCAGATCCACAGATGGGAGGCCAAACCAATGAGATAGAACATTCTAGATCTTCCCATCACTTTGAAAACCTGGCTTCTTTCAGTTGGTTCTCATTGAAAAATCAGCATCTGAAGCATCCAGAGCGAGGCTCTCGGCCCATGGTGTTGGGGGGGCGGCGGTTGTCTGAGAATCCGGTGCTGTGTGTAGCTGCTTGTGTAAGGGAACACAACCGTGTAAAAATGGGTGTTTTCACCTCCAAATGACCAGACACTTGCCCCGAGTGGGCATCTATGTGGGCCCCTCGGAACTGGCTGAAGCGAGTGCCCACGGACCCCAAGATAAACTGGCTAGCAGAAAGACAAATTATCTCTTAAGGAAAATAACTTTTGTGTGTTTCTCCACAGGGGGCAGGAGAGGGGGGGGAATCAGTAATATACACAATATAAAAAAAAAAGTATGGGCAAAAAAAAAAGCCCAGAGGGGACAAAAAACTCCCATAATCCCACTACCCAAAGATTACTGCTTTTAATAATTTACCATGTCCTTCCAGAGATTTCCCCTTGCTACAAATTACATTTTCAGAGAAGGAAAAATAAATAGCTAATGAATCCATTAGCAGGTACTTGTGACACAGGCGGGCTCAGAGGACTTGGACTGTGAACGTCAGAGAGAGGCAGGCAGCTAATTCCCATTTGGTCCGGGGAAGATTAGTTTATGCTGCTTAGCTCAAACCAGAACTAATGGCCTGAAGTGTTTCTCCATATTTGGGCAAAGCCACCTGGTCGTTGGCAGGGGAACCGCTTTCCCCGCGTGGGCTGCAAACGCAGACAAAGCTCTCAGCCTCCCCCGCTCTGCTCATCTGTTGCTGTTTGTCATTCATCAAGTGGAGCAGGTGCAGAAGCTCCCGGCAGACACAACAAACAGGGCCGCTGTCCAGCCTGTGGGGCTGCTCCTCACCCTCGCTTCCTGCAGACACATCCCCTTCTAGCCTGGTCCCCAGGCGGGACCCCGCAGACCAAGGGGGGACGCACTCCCCAGTGACAGAACCGCCTCTGGGCCTGCCTGCGGACAGAAATAGTGTGTGCCTGGGTTGGTGACTCAGGCGGGAAGATTTTGTTTATGGTTTTATCATTGCCTTAATTTGATTGCTGCATAATGAGTCATCTGTAGACCATCCCTCCCACTCATGCCGCCCTCACCTGCACTCCCCGGGGAGCTGTGGTTTGCTCCAAGCCTAGCGCAGCATCTCAGCTGGTCCCTGGGCCAGCCCCCCAGCCCTCCAGCCAGCGTACTGCCCTGAGAGTCTAGGGGAGTGCTCTGGCATCCTCAGGAGGCTTCAGAAGTTGGGGTGACCCCTGACCATGGCCTCAGGCTTGTGTGCAGGCATTTCAGGGAGGAATGAGAGGAGGAACTGGGATGGCTCTTTCCAGATGTGCTCCTAACCCGCAAATCTTGACCAGCCCACAGCCCAGCCCTCCATGACAGGGCCCTTGGGGAAGGGAAGAAGACCCAAGAAGAGGCTAAGAGGAAGGAAAGAGATGGAGAGCAAAGAATCTAGGAGATGGGAACCAATTAAATTTGTGAACAAAACAGAAGTTCAGCTCCTCTTCCCTAACTGAGGTCCCCAAGAAGAATTGCCAAAGGCTCTTTCCATCTGTGGCTCCCAGACCAGTCTCAGGCAGCTATGGGGCTCTGTTCTCTCTTTTCCTGGCCCCAAGTCCATGTTGCTCCTGGGGCCACGGTTGTGGCAAAGCTTGAGCAGATACTCAGTCTGAGCACTCAACCGACCCAAGCCTTCGGCATGGCAGTGGACAGTCAGCAGAGAAGGGTCAGCTCGAAGGGGTCGCCGCTCGTCGGGGAAGCCAGGGTTGGAGACCTAGAGTTTCCTCTGAAGGCAGTCCCGCATTTCTAAGTCCTTGGTCAGGACTTAAGCAAAGGGCAAGCCAAAGGAGCTCTCTAGAAGGCCCACAGAGTTGCTGAGTCATGGTGTGAATGCACTCCTCTGATGTATTAGACTAGGGTGTGCAGCAGTGATAAATGCCATCCAAATCTCAGTGGCTGAACACAGTAAAAGTTTATTTTTCAGGCACACGAAGTCCAACGTGGGTAGGTGACTCTCCTTGGCAGCTTTCTTCCGACTGTGACAGAGGGATCCAGGATGCTTCCTCCATCTAGAGTTTTTTGCTCCCAACCACATAGACAGAAGAGACTGTGGAGAAGTCATGCCTGCTCTTAACAGCCTCGAACTAGAAGTGACCCATCATTACTGCTCACATTCTCATTGGTCAGAAGTAGTCCCATGACCTCAAACAAACTGCCGAGGAGGCTGGGAGATGTAGAGGAATACCTGGATATTTTGTGAACATTGTCTTTCCCAAACCTGGGAATTCGAACCCTCTGGATGGTTTTATTTTTCTTCCAGGAAATGGTTCTAATGACAACCCCTGCTCAGAGACTTATCGTGGGCCCTCCCCTCAGTCGGAGCCTGAGGTGGCGGCCATTGTGGACTTCATCACTACCCATGGGAACATCAAGGCTCTGATCTCCATTCACAGCTACTCTCAGATGATCATGTACCCTTATGGCCATTCACTGGAGCCGGTTCCAAACCAGAAGGAGTTGGTGAGATTGGCTGCCTGGGGCTTGGGGGAGGCATCAGGCAGACCGCCAGAGGTTCAGGCCCTCACTCTGAAACAAGGGTCTGGACCAGTTGACCCCATGTTAGGGAGGAGGGGGAGAGCTTGTTGTTCTCACATGTGGTCAAGTTCAGAGCCAGAGGGGCTGTGCTCCCTTCTCATGAGAGCCATCTGCACATTCAACTTCTGGGTTTCTCAGCGGCTGGTGAGGGTGTGGGAGCGTGGGGAGCCCCAGCCTCTCACCCTCTGGATGCAATCTCGCAGTACAATCTTGCCAAGGACGCAGTGCAGGCCCTGTATGAGGTCCACGGGATCGAGTACATTTATGGCAGCATCAGCACCGCCCTCTGTGAGTGAGCCTTCCCCTGGGTGCTGCTCTTGGCCCCACATCCACCTGAGGTTGGGCAGGTGCAGGCTGTTTGCTGACTGGCAGGGCTGGTTGGCCACAGGGCAGTGCCGTAGATCTAACTGAGCGGGGTCAGAGCTGCTGTCCACATCTGAATAGAGGGGTGAGTGGTGGTCCCCAGAAACAGGCAACTCTTTCTTTGCAGCATCAATTAATGCCTGGTTCCCAATGTCTGGCTTACTGTGATGTTCCTTGAAGGAGAAGATCCTTCTTGAAGGAAAGCTCCTTGGTGGCCTCAGGGAGCTTTCTTTTTGCTGGGGCAGAGAATGGGGAAGGGGGACAGAGTGTGGCCCAGGTTGACGCTGGGGTCAGAAGGTGTGGTGTTGTCTGGGGTGAGTTGGGGTTTGGCCCCCAGGGCCCACTTTCCACTCAGGATACTTCTGCACCTTAGGACCACACCCTGTTCTTTCTTCTGGGGGCATTTCTTTGCCCTTTTATACCCAGATGTGGCCAGCGGGATCACTGTCGACTGGGCCTATGACAGTGGCATCAAGTACTCCTTCACCTTCGAGCTCCGGGACACGGGGAGCTATGGCTTCCTGCTGCCGGCCTCCCAGATCGTCCCCACGGCCCAGGAGACGTGGCTGGCGCTTCGCGCCATCATGGAGCACACCCTGAATCACCCCTACTAGCAACACCACTCAGGGCAGAGCAGGAGCATTCATTCCCTTCCCCAAGGCCTGGGGCTCCTCCTGAAACCCAAGTGATACATCGTCCTCCCCACACCCTTACCCTGACCCCTTAGGAAATAAATAACAAGTTTGAACAGGCTTGGTGGCCTCTGGTGCTTTGGGCTCAGCACTGAGGGGACGGGCGGCTTGAAATGCCTCTTCACTCCTCAGGAATTCAGGAGGATCAGGGGGCTAGCAGCCCTTAGATTTCGTCGTCTTGCAGCGTTCTCCAGGCCCAGAGCCGCTAACTCACTCTCTGGGAGCTACTGGATACACACTTGTCCCCTTGGTGTTTACATTCTGAGATGATCCGGAAGGCACAATGTTTGAGTGGGGCTCCAGTGGTGGCATCTCCGGCAGCCCGAGGGAGAGGTGGGTACGGACAGGCACATTCCTTCTCTGCCTGCTTCATTTCCATGCTGTGTAGCAGGGGAGGGCCGCATCTCGGAGGCCCCGGCTTGGAGGACCCCATTCGCCCCCTAAAGGAAGGTGAACACCCTCACAGTCTCCCCTGGTCCGGGGAGCAGGGTCACAAGTCAGTCAGAGCCAGCACAGCAAAGCACCACCCACCCAGGGAGAGGAAATCCTCTTTCCCCCTTCTCTTCACCCATGGTCACCACGCTGGTCAGGCACTGAGCAGTGAGTCGAGGCCGGGCATTTGCTAAGCAAGCACTTTATTTAAGGGAGAGAAAGGGACGATATTTTGAGATACAAATGAGGTGCCCCCACCCATCCTGAGGCTTCCTTACAGCTTTTGCCTTCCTCCACCACTGGGGAGCAGGGGTAGTGGGTCTCTCTGTCCTGCCCCAGGGGAAGGCAGGTCCTCTGAAGAAGCAAGCGGGCCACTGAAGAGCTGAAAGGGTCTGTGTAATTCTGAGGCAGAAAACAAGACTTTCATTGGCAAGGGCCAGACTTTTGTTGTTTTGGTCACAAAAGAAAAGGATTGTGGGACCCGTGATGTGGCCCCTGCAGGACACAGAGCACAGGGTTTTACTCTAAATCACAGAGATGGAAGAAAGCAGGGGGGAATGAGAACAAGTCCCCCTTTCTACGTGCCCTGTAAAAGAAGACAGGGGTTGAATCAGTGGGAGGTGGGGATCAGCGGGGATCAAAACTCTAGGTAAGGCCCATGTCCAGCATGGCAACTGAGCAGCAGATGAACAAGGGCTGAGCAAGGGGTCTAGAAAGGTGATTAAAATGTATCCATGGGTATACCCGTATGGCTGGGTACACCTGAGGAGTGCAGCTACTGGGAGCTCTGAAAAAAGAAATGGTGAGGAGGCCTGGGGTAGAGGCAAGAAGGCTAAGCCCAGGGGCCACGGAGGCACCGTGGCCAGGGGATGCCTGTGCCCAGGAGCAGCTGTGCCAGGAGGAGGCCTGAGGAAGTCAGGGTAAAGAACACCTGAAGAACCCAGATCATCTCCAGGGGAAGAGCCAACAACGGGGGAGGAGAGCATCACGATTTGGGCCGCAGTTCCTCAAGAGTTCAAGATCTTTTTTTTTTTTTTTTTTTTACGCTGGAAGTGATTTGAGCGAGCTAGAATTTCCAAGCTAACGTCTTCTGCTATTAGTGGAAATATGAGGCCATGGGCTGAATTAGTATAAGCTATAGACAAATAAAGCAAGTTATACCTTTGCACACTGGAGTCTGTGATTATAACTTTTGTACCCTCTGGGCAAATATTTTCATTTCATCCTCTTGGGGCGGATACTACCATTATTAATAAGCTTGTATTTCAGATGAGGAAAGCACGATCATGTTTTGGAGAGGTTTTAAAGGCCACATGAGGCCACATGGATGGGAAGTGGTTGAGGGAGATTTGAACTTGGGTGTGTCTAACTCCCAAAACCACTATGTCGCCATTTGTCCAAGTGTGATGTGTGACCACACCTGTAGCAGAGTCCACGGGGAGTCGTTTAATGTGAAGGTAGTTCCATTCCCAGACTGAAACAGAATCTCTGGGGTGTACCCCCCGAATGTGTATTTTTGCCCTCTGCCCCAGGAGTTGTGAGGTCCCTTAAAGGCTGAGAACCACCTGCTCTCCTGCCTCCCAGAAGAACACATTTGAGTCTTCCTGGGGGAAGTTGGGGCTCAGCATCTCCACCCTCTGCCATTATCCATTAGGGCTGAAGGTGGTTACAACAGCGGGAGGCTGGTCATCCTTCTCCAAGATGTTCCCAAGGGGCTGCCTTGGCCCTCACCTAACGCAGTGTGGTCTGGAGACCACAGGCATCAATACAAAGTCTGGAAATACAAATTCTCAGGCCACCCCAGACCTACTGAACCCAAATCTCTGGGGATGGGACCCAGGTGATGCTAATGCCACACTGGAGAGGCGTTGCCCTAGAAGCAGGAGTATCTGGACCCTGATGGGTTTCTCAGTAACAACAGTGAAAATAATAAGCTTTTCTAGCACCTAGCCAGGCATGGTTCCAGGTGCATTATAGGATTCAACACATTGCCTCCTCACAGCTCTAAGAAGTAGGACTCTTACTGTCTTGATTTTCAGATGAAGAAGCTCAGACTCAGCATAGTAGCTGAGGGGCACCCAGCTAACTGAGTGGCAGTCATGCCCTGAGTCGTGCCCAGAGCCCCTTAGGACCAAGGGCCAGGAACTTGTTCTCATAGTCATGTTGGTAAGACCTGTGTACAGCCAATAGACTCATGAAAGTTGGAGCTGAAACTGCTTTACAGAAGGGGATCTTCTTGAAAGGCAACTTTCTCTTTAAAATCCTCCAATGAATTAACCACCCCCGGCCCACCCAAGATGCTACTACATGGCTAGCCCTGGGGACCTCTCCCACTTTGCCTGAACACCTTGCTCATCGGCCCCAACCTCACCAGCCTCCTCTCAGTTCCTTCCCAACGGGAAGCATTTGCACGTGATGCTCCTTCTTTCTGGAACATTCTCTCCTCTCACTCTTCCTCCAAATGGCCCACTCCTTAAATTTTTCCCTTCAATATAAATTCCTCACCAGTCCTTCTAGAACCACCCATTAGAAGTGGATCTATTATCCTCTTTTCCAAGGCCTCATGTATTTCTGTGATTACAATGATAATTAATTGACTTCTTTGTTGATTTGTTTCTGCCACTAGTTTGGCTGCTCTGTGAGGGTAGGGACCATGTTTGGGCTCTTCAGCCTCACTCAGCTCCTGTCAGGTGCACAGCAGGTACTCAGGATTTGTGGAAAGAGTGTTTCTCCTCCTGGGCCTCATACAGATTAGTACTTAGGTTTAGTATCAGGTGACAGAAACCCACCTTACTGTGGCTTAATCAGATAGGGGTTTTATTTTTTTCATGTACTAAGTTGCCTGAGGTGGGCAGAGCAGCCCACCTGACTGAACATGACTCCCTGAGGCACTGGGGGCCCAGGCCCCTCTGGCCTGGCCTGTCTTGCTACACCCCGTCATGTGACTGAATTCCAGGCAGGAAGGGCAGGGGTGAGCCCGCAGCTGGCTGGCCCATCCAGGGACTTCAGCTTACACTCTGTCGGCTGGGGTTGTGTCAGGTAGTCAAGCTCAGCTGCAAGGGAAGCTGGAAAATCACCTTATAGTTAAGCACGTTGCTGCCCCAAATAAAATCAGAGTTTGGTTGGTAAGGAGAACGGGGAGAATGGGTATTGGAAAGACAGCCGGCTGTCTCCTGAAGCTTCTCTGAAGGGAGAGAAGATCTGAAGGGGTCTCTGAATCAGTTTCTTTGCTCTAGTTAAATTGGCTGACTTAACCATCAAGCCAGAGAACTTTCCAGGGTCCTTTAAAATCTTCTGGTCCAACCCCCTCCTCTTAAATTTATAAAGACTGGGGGTCTCTGGGTCATTGAACTTCTGTGTGGCCCTACATGAACCTAACGGCTGAGAGAAGACTAAAGCCAGGGGTCTTCCTCCTCTGACTGAAGGGTTTCCTCAGCAAGCCCAGGAACGTGATGGCTGGAGGGGTTTAAGTGTATCAAGTAAAAGCTCAAGACTTAAACATGCAAGTTTTAGAGATACTACAGAAAATCTCTTTTTTGTAAAATCTGAACTTTTTTTTTGTTTTTCATTTCTTAGGTATATAATGCTAAATAGGAGTTCAGTTTTTCTACATTCTGCTTGGTTTTTTTTTTTTTTTCCTTTCCCCTTCCAACAAACTGCTCTTTTTAGGTATGTTTTTTCATCCTTTCACCAGTAAAATTTATGAGCATTTATTTAAAAGAAAAAAACATTGGAAAAACCGAAGAGAGAAAGAGTGATTATACATATGGAAAGCTATAAAGAGCCACAGTGAATGTGTTGCGGTTATTGCTTTCTTAAAAAAACAAACCAGGCAGGCAGTTTGGAACCTGAAAGAGTCCTGTGTGAGGGCAGGCGGGCGGCAGAGGCTGCGAGTGATGGGCGAGTGGCCGGGGGCCAGGGAGTCCAGTGAGTCCAGTGGGGAGACGTTAGCTGCCTCCATCCCCACTCCCCGCCCTCCTCCATCTCCCCTCTGACTGCCCCAGACAGGCCCAGAGACAAAATGACAAAATTACCGAAAACACAAAATTAAATTAAATTTAAAAAAGCTTCTTCAGAAAAATAAGATGGCCCAGACAGCCCGTTACTACAGGCCGAGGGAATCCAGCGATTGCCGGCCTGCCAGGGCCTCACACCCTGGTGAAGTCCCACCATATCTCGAGTCTTGGGGGGCCGGGGGGGCAAGCCATGTTCTTCTGGGGACGGGAGTGTCCTGAAGGACAACTTTAACCTGTTCGGCCTTCCAGTGTTCTCCTTCCCCAAGTATTTGGGACCATCCTCGGGAATGATAGCAAATCCGTTCTTTTGGCTTGCCCCTCGTTCGCCTCCGGCCCCGGGGTCTGCAGTTGGCCTCTTGCCATCTCCTAACCGGCTTTGCCAAGCTCTGTGGCTCCCCATCCACGCTCCTGCCCCTCCAGCCACCTCCCTCAATTCCCCCAAAGCCTAGCTAAGACCACACGGGAACATTTCACAAAATTGTACTTGGGGATACAGGAGGGAAATACAATGTAGAAAGTACAACACTTGGACCGGACGCCGGCTTTGGAGTTGGTTCGTGGCCCTTTGTGAGACAACCCCTCCCTACAGCCTTCACTCTCCTTGGCCCTCTGCCTGTTCCCACGTTGCTTCTCCCCTCCCCCATTTCCTCTTTTCCATTATGGGACATTCCTGCTTAGATCTTCTCTCTTCCGTCTCTGTTCTGGGATTTGGGCTCTGACTTGACATTTCCTAAAGACCCACTGGAGTGTTTCTCTCTTCAGGTTACAAACTCTGCCTCCTTTCCGGACACAAGCACCACCAGCCACTTTAAAGTGATAATTCTGCAGCTTCCAAGCAAACAAACACATAGCTTCTACTGGGCACTCAGTTATGAGAGCAAAGCTCAAGGAGGCTGCTGTCAGAGCCTCCTCTCCCAGCCTTACACGAGGCCCCCACGGCCTGCAACCTCCCACCACAGCCTCAGCAGGCCGTGGCCCCTCTCGACCCACACTGTCCTGGGAACACTCACCCATCGCAAGTCCCAGGGCCCCTGTGGGTCTACTGTGATCTGCCCCCAAACCTGGGAAGGCTCTCCGTACTCTGCCCAGACCTGTCACCAGGCTGTGATTTGTTTGGGGGTAAAAAATACAAATGTCTTAGAATCATAAAGTGTCACAGCTGGAAGGGACCCCAGAGATCCTTCTGTCCTACTCCCTCATTTCATAGATAAGGAAACTGAGGCTCAGGGATGTGCGGTGACCTCCCCAAGTTATATAACGGGTTTGTGGCAATCTACTTTTGGACGGCATTCCCTCTCCCGTTTTGCCGTCTTCTGAAGCTAGAGAATGCCTTTGTGTTAGCTGTGCACTTCCTTCAGGCACGTGTGACAGAGAGCCAACTTGCTAAAGCTGGAGGGGGAGAAGATGGAATTAGTTGGCTCATCTCTAGAGCTACGGTGGGGGTGGGGTGGCTAGACCCACCTGAATCACCCGGCCTCAGAGTTGGGAAGGGTGGTCCCTAGGGGAAGACAGAGGTGCTGTTACCAGAAGGAGGATGCTGGGCCGGGAAAAGGAGAGATGTCCATTACAGGCCACCACTTAGCTGCCTCAGATTCTCACAGACTTCTCTTCCCATACACACAACTGTATCCCATACAGCCTTAAACACACTTGCCAAAGCGAGACAGCTGAAATCTCACCCAGCTACTGCATTCGGCCATTTTCACTGCGCCTGTTTGTGCCCCTTGTCCACAGTCCTCCTTTGATCCCCGATATGGACATGGACTGATTCTCCTGCCTTTTTAACAAACCATTTTCTATGTTTTAGTCTGGGGATCTCTAAGCATTGTCTTAGAGCTTCTGTTTACCACGCTTGGGCACTCTCTGGCGACAGGGTTGCCATGAATAGTTGTCCAGTGTGTGCACTGCACAAAAGCATTCTGCTGAGAGGATGAGGGACTATGTCTGCCCAGAGAGGGAAGGATGCACTTTTCCATTTCACATAAAGTCTCTCCTAGGCTAAAAACTGTATTGTCCTCTGACAAAACGAGCATTTTAAAAGCTCAGTAAAGGGGCGCCTGGATGGCTCAGTCGGTTGGGAGTCTGACTCTTGATTTCGGCTCAGATCATGATCTCGGGGTTGTGGGATGGAGCCTCACATCGGGCTCTATGCTCGGTGCGGAGTCTGCTTGTCCCTCTCCCTTTGCTCTTCCCCTGCCACTTGCGCAAACTTTCTCTCTCTCTCTCTCTCAAATAAATAAATAAAATCTTTAAAAACATAATAAAATCTTAGTAGGTGCATCACTTAGAATGCTTTTTACAGCCTCAGTGCTTTTTATAGTTAATAAAAAGGAAATGTATATTCTTTGATACTGTATAGTCCAAAGGTGGAGCAACAGACTTGACAATATCCAGGGAAAGGTGTCTCCTTCTCAAGAGTGGAAAACATTTTCTAGAAGCTTCCTTGCTGGCTTTCCTTCACTTCTTATTGGTCAAACTGGGTCAAATGCCTACCCCTAAATCAATCACTTGTAAAAGACAGTGGGATTCCTCAATTGTCTTTGATTAATTGGAATTTATCCCTGAGCTGGGGATGGCGTGACTTTCCTGAGGGGTGACACCTGCATCGAATCTTGGTTTGTTCAGCGAGGGAGAAGGGAGGGACACTGGACTCTACTCCATGGGGCTACAGCAGGCCTTCCTCTGTTTACATTCGGGCCTCTGGCCTGTGACCTTTCCTTGAATCTGGATGCCAGGCTGGTAGCTTCTTTCTCATGCTAATAGGGGTCTTGATGCTCTGCATACACCCCCAGTTTTCTGCTTAAAGGCCTTCATCTTTGCCCTTGCTTTGGACCAATGTGAAAGAAGCCCCTGTGGAAAGGCAACGCTGTGGCCTTCTGCTCCAGGTTCCATTCTAGCAAACTGGTCTTTACCAAGAGGCAATTTTCAGCTTCCTGAGGTGCTTTGGAGGGACCCAGGGAATTAGGTCTAGCCTCCACCTGAGACCCGAAGTCCTCTCCCATTGTGTTTTCGGCTTCCTGACGTTGCTGGCCCTAATTTTAGCTTGCAGCATTAAATTAATCTTTCCCAACCTTGCAAGAAAATAGATTACATGACCCTTGATCACCTTAGGTTGCTGGCTGGAGGCTTCAGGAGGCCCGCTTGGTGGGGCTGTCCCTCCCCCCCCATCCCCCTTCCTCCAGTGGGCTTGTCTTTTCTAGAAGGAATTCACAGAAGGCCCAAGAATTAGCCAACACCCCCAACATGTGTAGTGTGTGTGAAACAGAGTCAAACTTATAGGACAGCTTTGGATTTAAGAAATTCAAAAAGAAATATTGTTTTCATAATGCAAACTGAAGAAAGGCTCTACAAAACCTTTTTTCTTGCTGGGGGACAGATTTGAGAGCTCGAGAACACCGCAGGGCCCTCAGAGTTGAGGGAGACTATGAGGGATGGCTAAGAAACAGTCCCTGGTCTGAGGGAACTTACAGTCTCACAGGGGAGACGCCCATTAAGGAGGAGTAAACGTGAGTTTGTGTTCAGGCACTGCCTAGTGTAATGAACACCCACTCCTTTCTGTGCCTAGTAAAATCCTGTCATTAAGACTCAGGTCAAGGGCGCCTGGGTGGCTCAGTTGGTTAAGTGACTGCCTTCGGCTCAGGTCATGATCCTGGAGTCCCGGGATTGAGTCCCGCATCGGGCTCCCTGCTCAGCAGGGAGTCTGCTTCTCCCTCTGACCCTCTTCCCTCTCGTGCTCTCTCTCTCTCATTCTCTCCCTCTCAAAAAAAAAAAAAAAAATCTTAAAAAAAAAAAAGACTCAGGTCAAATGTCGCCTTCTCGGTAAAGTGTTCCCTGGAATCCACTCCTCATGCACGGCAGAGAAAACGCCCCACTCAGGTCTCCCGCAGCGAGGAGTGCATCCCCAGTAAGTCTTTTGCTCATGTCATCCTGTCTTGGTAACGGCTTCTTGTAAGACCTGTTGGAGAACCGGACCGTTGGTTGGTTCCTTCCATCTTCTGCATGAGACCGTGGGCTCTCTGAGATCAGGGACAAGTCCGTGGGGAGCTGGATTGTTGTGATGAGACCACACTTCCCACAGGCTGCCCCCAGCCAATGACTGGTGTTTCTGGGGGATGCAGGGCTCCCCTGACTTGCAGCACTGGCTCAAAGATTTTGCGTCAGCCTGGCCAAAATATTCTCAGAACGGCTCCTGTCTGCGCTTCTCCTACCCAAACTCCTCTCCTCCCTGCTCTCCTCCTTTGAGGAGAGACAGGGCAGATACTTGAGAAAGAAGCCAGAGGAAGCTTCAGGTAGGAAGTGGGTCTTATCTGGGGCCTGGACATCAGGCAAGGCTGCTGGAGACAAAAGAAACAGTCTTCATGGAGACCCCGCATCTGCTGAGGATGGTTTCAGTGTTCTATCGTCTTCTCCGAGCTAAGCTCAGGAAAGAGTGGGGGGCCAATAGAATGGAATCTCTCTGTCCCGGCACAGGAGGGTCGGCCAGGTGGGGGTGGGACAGGGAGGCGGAGAGAACAGTTGGAAACCAGAAGGGGCCACCTTGACTGTTGTCCGTGTCCAAGCCCGAGGCCCTGACATAGAGCAGGGCCCCCAGATGGTGCTGGGCAGCCCCTGGGGGCCCCTGTGGATTAGGGCGGATTGGTGTGAGATGTTTCTGCAGTGAGATCAGCATCCAGAGCCAGAGTGAATTCCCCCTTGCGAGTTCCACTTTCTCCTGGACACTGTGCAGTCCCAACAGGGGTCTGGCCCTGGTTCCCACCACCAGGCTTTCTACTCTGCTGACATCTGGTTATAGTTCCCATCAAGGGCAGCCCTGATCCTGAGCCCCATAGCGGCGGGGGTGGGGGGAAACACTGGCGGGAGTCGGGTTCCCGCCCCAGCTGCTGCTGCTGTGGTCTGACTCCCACGAGGCCACTGAGGCCGGGAGGACTGGGGCTGTACCCCGGAGGGGGATGTGCCTGGCACCGGGGAGGGGCAGCCCTGGACCGAGCCAGCAGGTGCAGGAGCGGGATGGGGGCAGAGAGTCCCAGCTGACTCTGCCGTGGTAACAGAAGAGCTGGCACTTAGGAACGTGGGGGAAGGGGAGCCCACACCTGAGGCTCCAGCTGGCGTGGCCGCTCCGGAGTCCACTGCCCGGTCAGCAAACAGGACTGAAGCCCAGGGGCGGGTACCCGGGGCCGTGGGCGCGCCGGCGCCCCGCTGGAAGGCCTCAGGCCCCAGCCGACCCTCAGGCTCAGGCGGGCACTTCACGGCCAAGGGCTTAAGGCCTGGCTTATCTCCCCAGCTGCCCTGTTCCCTGCCACTTTATCAGGGAGGGCGAGAAGGTGTCAGAGCTCAGGACTCCGTCCTCCCTCCCCGTGGGACAGGGCCCAGGTGCAAGGGGGAGGACAACCCTTGGGCATGGCCAGAAGACCTCTGACCTGGGAGAGTTTAAAAGGCCCCAGGACCTTCTCTCAGCCTCAGCTGATGTTCCCAATTAGCCGCGGGATGAGGCGGGCGCTGATTTTCAGTGTGTTGCTGGGGGCTGTGCTTGGCAAAGAGGACTTTACAGGGTAAGAGGACGACAGGAAGGGGGTGCTCACGCAGCAGAGGGGAGGACTCGGCCCCTGGCCAGCATCTGGAGGCGACAGACAGGCTGACTTGTGGGAAGACTCCAGAGAGGCGCAGACTAGTACACCCTGGGAGGCAGGCTGACCAGGGGCCATCCCAAGCCCCGGAGAAATCCAAGCTTGAAGGATTTTTAGGAGAGGAGGTGGGAGGAAGCCTGGCTGGCTTTGGAGAGAGAAACAGAGTCTAAACTGGGATGGGGATCTCAGTTGTGTCCAGAAGGTTCCAAGGAGCGTAGACCTCCCCTTGCTAAGGCCTCTCATGATTCCTCCTGCTCAGCCAGAGGCTAGAGGCCCAGCCCTGGGATTCCAGGCCTCTCTATGCCACTCTCCTCCCACCTGGGGAGCGTGAAAGGCCAATCCAGAGTTGCTCGGGCCCTTCATCTCCCCTCCCTCTCTGCCCAGGCACCAGGTGCTCCGAATCTCTGCTACCGATGAAGCCCAGGTACAGAAGGTGAAGGAGCTGGAGGACCTGGAGCACCTGAAGGTCCGAAGAAGTGGGGAGTCTTCCCCGAGGCCCCAGGGTTCCTCTCAGGCTAGCCGGACCCACCCCAGGATGCCACCCTCCCCTGGGGCCACCTGGGGCCTGGGCCCTCTCTCCTCAGCCACCCAGAAAGGACCCAGGGGACTGATCCCTGTTAAGAAATGATTTAACCCCCACCGCCCCCCCCAGTCCCAGAATCTTGCTGCCTTCGAGCTTCTGAGCAAAGGGGGGGCCTCCTTTCTGGCACTGCTCTCTCTCCCCTTTGCTTTCTTGAGCTCCTCCATACTGCCATTTCCCTGACCACAGTGAACTCTGTCCAGTGGCCATGGTTTCCCCTTCGTCCCCTGCCCCTAACAGCCATGCTGCAGCCACAGTTGTAGGGGACACTCTGGCCTAACACCCCCTCCCGGGCTGGCCCCTTCCCAGCTCGCGGGGACAGTGCCTGCTCTCGTCCTCCCCAGCTGGACTTCTGGAGGGGCCCTGCCCAGCCTGGCTCCCCCATCGACGTCCGAGTGCCCTTCCCCAGCACCCAGGCTGTCAAAATCTTCCTGGAGGCCCATGGCATCGGGTACACGACCATGATTGAGGATGTGCAGGCCCTGCTGGACGAGGAGCAGGAGCAGATGTTCGCCTTCCAGACCGGGGCCCTTTCCACGGACACCTTTAACTACGCCACCTACCACACCCTGGAGGAGGTGAGGGACCCCTGGGGTCACTCCGCGCAAGCACTAAGCTCTGCCTCAGGCTGGCAGAATGCGGCCGACCTGGGTGTGCGGGGCACCTGCTCTGTCCCCTGGCGGCCCGGGGGGCCGGGGTCGCGGCTCCCCTGAATCTCAGCACTTGCAGCCAGCGGGCGAATGGAGCTGCTCCGGAGGCATCCAGGTGCCTGGCAGCCACTCCAGCTGGCCTCCCTTTCTCTCCCTTCTCAGATCTATGGCTTCATGGATATCCTGGTGGCTGAGTACCCGCAGCTTGTCAGCAAGCTCCAGATTGGCAGCAGCTACGAAGGGCGTCCCATCTACGTGCTGAAGGTAACGGGCACCTGCGTGAGAACATACCCGGCGCATATGGGAGAACGGGCAGCCCCCTGTGTGTGTCGGGACTCGGGGGCGAGCCCACGGTCGCAGAGAACACACCGTGACGTGAACGCCCCATGCTGACATTGGGGAAGGACAGAATCTCTATGCTGGTCCAGCTGTATGCATACCTGTACACACACAATTCTTAAATTTTTAAGTGACCCGGGTATTCTTTTTTTTTTTTTTAAAGATTTTTCATTTATTTATTTGAGAGAGAGAGAGAGAGCGCGCGCGCGCATGAGAAGGGGGAGGGTCAGAGGGAGAAGCAGACTCCCTGCTGAGCAGGGAGCCTGATGCGGGACTCGATCCTGGGACTCCAGGATCATGACCTGAGCTGAAGGCAGTCGCTTAACCAACTGAGCCACCCAGGCGCCCGACCCAGGTATTTTCAATCAAGTGTCACATTGTGGGAAGTATCCCAGAGTCGGTGGAGTCCAGAGAAAATGTTTTATTTGTGATGCCCCACAGAGAACTGTGTATGGGCAGCAGAAGAGGGCAGGGCCCAGAGTTCTGGCTGAGGCCCATTTGCCCCAAGGCCGGTATGAAGGCTGGAGGCCATGTTCTGCTGGATTCCCGTCCAGACACCCCACTCCCCAACTCACCTGAGTGATGGCCCCACAAACGGAGCCTCAACCTGACATACCCGGGGAGCAGAAGGCCTCTGGGCCGGGGTAGGCTCCCCTTCAAGGAGCCAAGACAGGACGCTAGCTGGATCTCCCTGTTCTTCTCGTCCAGTTCAGCACGGGGGGAAACAGCCGTCCTGCCATCTGGATCGACACCGGCATCCATTCCCGGGAGTGGGTCACCCAGGCCAGCGGGGTCTGGTTTGCAAAGAAGGTAAGCCTGGGGGGGTGAGCAGGGCTCTTGCCTGGTGGGGCTGGCGGTCAAGGCCCACGGGAGCCCTGGCCTCCCCTGTCCACCCAGAAGCAGTGATGCAGAGGGAGCAGGTGCTCACTGCCTCAGCGTGGCAGACAGCTGGCCTGACCCCCTCTGCCTGTCCATCCCCTAATTCCCCACCAGATCACACAGGACTATGGCGAGGACCCCACACTCACCGCCATTCTTGACTCCATGGACATCTTCCTGGAGATTGTCACTAACCCTGATGGCTTTGCCTTCACCCACAACAAGGTATAGGCCTTCTCCCATTCTTTGGAGGAAACAGGGTGGGCCTCTGAGCCCCACGAGCTACTCACCCTTAATCTCAACCCCCAGAAGTCGAGGGAGGGGCAAATAGACCTATCTTCCTAGACCAGGGTTCTCATCCTCGGCATTCTTGACATTTGGGGCAGAGAATTCTTTTTCTGGGGCGGGGGGGCTGTCCTGTGCCTGCAGAGTGTTTAGCATCATCCTGACCTAATACTCAGGAAATGCCAGGAGCAACCTCTCCCTTGAGAGAGCCAAAAATGTCTTCAGACATTGCCAAATGTCCAGGTATCGTCCCCAGGGGAGACCCACTGCCCTGGACCTTATTTCCTAGCTTTATGTTATTTTATGGCAGGTACAGCATGCTACCAATCTAGTGTGTGTCGCGGGGAGGGGGGGGCACGTTGTGGAGGCACCTGGTGAAATGCCATCTACTGTTGCCTCTGTTCTCCTTCAACCAAGAGCCTCCTTTGCAGACCTTCCTGACAACCAGTTGAAAGTGGTTTCTGACCCATGCTGTGTCCACCCCAGTGTTACAGATTGGGTGCTTCGTGTTGGTTATGGCCGCTCACAGCCCACCCTGCTGTCTGTGGGCTCTGGACGCCAGCCCGGCATGGTGACAGACAAGTGTCTTGATTCCTTCCCCAGAATCGCATGTGGCGCAAGACTCGGTCCCTCACGGAGGGCTCCCCCTGTGTTGGAGTGGACCCCAACCGGAACTGGGATGCTGGCTTTGGGAGTAAGGCCCAGGGTGATTTGGAAGCAGGGATGGGAAACCCAGAGTGGCTTCTTCCCTTCCTGGGTCCTGTTGCCCCCTCGCCTTTCCTGCCCCAGCGGTGAGGGCGGGGGCGGGGGGCGGGTGTCAGTGTCTCCTCTGGGGCTCTTAGTGAGGTTTTCTTGCGCCGTGTCTGTAGAACAAATCTCCCCGCAGTGGAATTAAGGTCTGAAATCTATGTAGGGGTTTTCGAGGGTAGCTTCAGCTCCTTCCCTCTGCTGTCCCTTCACTACAAGAATGGGTCTTGGGGACGCCTGGGTGGCTCAAAAGCATCTGCCTTTGGCTCGGGTCATGATCCTGGGGTCCTGGGAGCAAGCCCCATGTAGGTCATGTCGGGCTCCCTGTTCAACGGGGAGCCTGCTTCTCCCTCTCCCCCTGCTGCTCCCCCTGCTTGTGCTTGCGGGCGCGCTCTCTCTCTCTCTCTGTCAAATAAATAAGATCTTAAAAAAAAAAAAAAAAAAAAGAATGGGTCTTTCTTGAGACCCTCCTGGGGCATGTCCCTCCATGTTGCCTATGCCTGGCTGGGGAGGGAGGCAGGACCCCCAGGTTCTAAAAGGCCTTTGGCCTTTCCTTAATCCCAGGGTAGGGGTGAGCCCTCCTGCATTCCACCTCACCCCTGCTTCCATGTGAAGAACTTGAGGCTGTAGAAGCCACGCTGCTTGGGTGTAAGGAATGCCAACGATCCTTCTTCCTCTCCCACAGGGCCTGGAGCCAGCAGCAACCCATGCACAGAGACTTACCATGGCAAGTTTGCCAATTCCGAAGTGGAGGTCAAGTCCATTGTGGACTTTGTGAAGAACCACGGGAACATCAAGGCCTTCATCTCTATCCACAGCTACTCCCAGCTCCTCCTGTATCCCTATGGCTACAAAGCAGAGGTGGCCCCTGACCAGGCTGAGCTGGTATGTGCCCATCCCCCACTTGCCCTGTGGTGCCTAGCACCCCTTTCTTCCATGGAGCCCTGATGGCTTAGGAAGACCTGCAAGGCAGACTAGCCTCAATTTCTGCCTGGGAAACTGAGGCCCAGATGGGTTGAGTCACTCCTGTCACATGACAGAGCAAGGGGCAGGGCTAGACTTGGAGCTGGTACCACAAGCTCAGTTTGGAGCTGCAGTGTGACCAAAGGGCAGTGACCGAAGTGCCAGCCAGACATCCCATGGGGTTAGAGGACCACAGGGTCACTGAACTCCCGCTCTTTGCTGGGCTGCTTCCCAGCTGGAAGTTGGGCTACCCTGGCCCTGCTGTTCTGGGGGGTCTGCTGTTGCTGCCCATAACAGGTGGTACCGCTCGGCATTTTCTCCAGGACCAGGTGGCCAAGTCTGCTGTGACAGCCCTCTCCTCTCTGTATGGCACCAAGTTCAAGTATGGCAGCATCATCAAAGCAATTTGTAAGTGGGTGCATGGTCTCCGCGGGGGCACCGGGAGTAAGCTTAGCTGGCGTTTCCTGCCTGGGGTGGTGGCCCTCCTTGGGGGAAGTACCCAGCGGTGCCTAGATCTGGGAACACGGGCGAGGAGAACAGTTCTCGGCCGTGCCTCAGTGGGCAGCGGGGCCCTTTTCTGACATGAACTCTGCCTTCTTTGATACCTTCAGATAAAACGTATCAGCTCCTCTGAGAACTTTTGTCCCCTTAGGTTAAGTCCAGCTTTATGGAGGGGCTGGAGGGTTCTGCTGGCATTTCTGTATCACCAAGAAATTCAGCTTGAAAAGATACTCCTCCTCTGATGTCTTTCAGTTAGAGACTAGATCCTATCTATCCCCAGCTTAGTTGTACCTGCCATGCCGCTGGGAGGAGCACTGCTACATCAAAATGGAATTCAGTCAGCGAATGTTTACTGAACACCTACTATGCATCAGGCCTTGTTTTCCGAGCTTGGGAAACAGCTGGGAATAAGCAAAGATCAGGAACCATACATTCTAGTCGGGGAGAGTGACGATAAACATGAATTAGTAAATGATACAGTATGTTAGGTGATGAAAATTCGGGAGAAAAAGAAAAGCTAGAACAGAGTAAATGGAATCAAGGGTACTGGGCATGGAAGCTGGGGAGGTGGGTGGAAGGGTAGGCCTCAGTGAGTTGGTACTATCTGGGCAAGTGTTGAAGGAGAATGAGGAAGGGAGCCAAGAGGCTATCTGTCTGGGGAAGAGCCTTCTGGGCAGAGGAACCTTCTAGAACAAAGGCCCTACCATGTGATCTGGACTGGCGTGTTGGGGGAATGGCAAAACAACGTGGAGCCCCACATGATGGCAGCCGGCGGGTGGGGTGGGGGGAGAGTGCACAGGGTCACAGGGGACTAGTGGGGTGGGGGCAGATACTATAGGGCCCTGAGGAATGCAACAGGTTTGCCGGCTGACAAGAGGCAGGGGCCAGGGACAGAGGTGGGGGGTCTGCACATACCCCTCATGTACCTCGTGCCCAGAGTGCCAGGTGTTAGTAGGCGAGTGGGCCACAGTCTTAGCTACAGCTGGCCTTGCTTTTGGATTCCAGGCCTGGTTTGGAAGTGGTTTCAAACTGCATCAAAGTTTTCTACTTCATTCAATGTTGTCAAATTACATTCTGATATGCAGCCGCCTCCTGCACCCTGGCCCAATTCAAAAGCAACTTTGTTACCCACTGTTAACTGCAAATCTGGGCCAAGTTTCCTCCAAAAAGACAGCCAAGGGGCTTTTACTTTGCCTCTGGCCCTTTGCACTTTCTCCTGCAGACCAGAGCTCCAGGGGACAAATCCTGGTTACTCAAGTGGGTAACTCTGGTATATTTGGACCAAAGCAGCTGTTGGAGGGAGGCGGTTTTCAGTGGGGCTTTTGCAATTGCGAGAACGTTCTTGCATCCCCCTGTGATAGGAGAACCACAGCTGGTCCCCCTCTCTGGGCCTCTTGAGCTGAGACCTTTTGGGGGAGCTTCCTGGGAGGAAGCCAGGCTGCTTGGTCAACAGCGGGCCCTTAGCAGACGCGGCCTCCCGTGAACCCTGCATGAGGCTCCGGGCTTCGGACCATCGGCCCAGCCCACGTTAATGTGTCAAGAGTGATTGACCTTTGCTCTCTGGCATCTGCTCCCGCCCCAGACCAAGCCAGTGGAAACACCATTGACTGGAGCTACAGCCAAGGCATCAAGTACTCCTTCACCTTCGAGCTCCGGGACACGGGGCGCTATGGCTTCCTGCTGCCGGCCTCCCAGATCATCCCCACGGCCCAGGAGACGTGGCTGGCGCTTTGCGCCATCATGGAACACACCCTGAATCACCCCTACTGAACTGGCCCTTCGGGACCCTCCTCTTCCCCCCTCTCTGGCCCCACCCAGGCAACCAAATAAAGTCTGAGTGTCCATGGAACAGAATCTGGGGGCTGGCATGGAGGAGTGCGTCTGCCTTTGCAAGCTGGGGCAGAAGTGGTTTAGTTCCTGCAGACCTCCCTGGGAATGTGTGGGTGGCTGGACTAGATGACCCCTAAATTCCCCTGCATTCCAAGGTCTTCTGAAGTTGGATCCAAGTGGCGTCGGTTTTAATTAGAGCACCCCGCGCTCAGCTCATCAGTGCGGTGGTTCGTTCATACCTGAGTAGCCAGCGGCCGCCCGCCGCAGCTGCTAACTAAATGCCAGGCACCCTGCAGGGGTGAGGAATTCGGCCTGCACCATAGTAGAGCTAGTTGGGTCCGTTTATCTACAGGAGCAATAACTCTGAGTATGGACTAGAATAATCTTGGTGGCCGCTGCTGTCCCAAATAGACATTGCAGCCAGGCAGAGCAAATTTAATTAAGTTGGAAGAAAACAACTGGGTTCAATGAAAAATTTACTGGAGATAAAGAACAAACACCAATCCCAGGACATATTAACTGTAGTACACCACGAAGACTTTGCTTTTAGGGACAGAAGTAGCCTTATTTTCATATGCCACATCCTTTCTAGCATCCTTTGACACATGGTCTCCACTTCCTCTCCTGTTTTGCCCACCACCACTCCCTTACCATTTGCAAAATTTCTCAAATATGAGGCTCGCCCTCTGATACTCTCCAGAGCTCCTAAAACTCACTGGCTTTTCTCCTTCGGCTCGGTGGTTCCGATGGCTGTGACACTGCACGGAGCGCTAGCACCACAATACACTGGGCACCTCAGCTTTTTTCAAAGCAAGAATCTACCCGGTGTTTCTTCCAAATCTCTTCAGATGCAAATGTGGAGCAGGGGGTTATTCTCACAGCAGTCACTGGGAAGGGAGTGAGGGTGGATTGGTAGCTCCCCAAAGAGGGAAGCTGGGGAGTAAAGATGGCAGCTTTCCCCGTGTGAGCCAGGCGAGGTGTTACAGCACCTCCAGCTCCAAGGACGTAAAAGCCTTATCTTTTCCATGGGTCAAATGCTCTATTTTTGTTTGTTTTGCTACCAAACATTCCAGAAAACAAAAAGTATGAGGCAGACTAGACATACAGTATATATAAACTTACATATATGTAGGTTTATGAGGCCAGGTAAAATGGCATTTCAGTCTTTTTCTAAGATTTCATTTATTTGAGACAGAGAGCGAGAGCATGTGCACACACGTGCGCGACTGGAGGAGGAGGGAGAAGCAGACTGAGCGCAGAGCCTGATGCGGGGCTTGATCCCAGGACTCTGAGATCATGACCTGAGCCGGAGGCAGCCGTTTAACTGACTGAGCCACCCAGGCGCCCCAATATTTCAGTCTTTCCAGAAAAATGACCTAAAGATTTTATAACACTTCCTTCAAGTTATCTTTTGGGAAACACTTCCATTCAATCTGTGTAGATAAGCTGAAACCCATTTTGATGGCTCAGTTGGGACAAGTAAAAAGCTGATATTTTTTTGCTTAAGCTGGATAAGCAAAAAAATATTAAGTTTGCAAGGACACTATATCTTACAAAATCGGATTACTTAGACTTCAAGGATAGAATTGCTTAATTTAAAATAATTGTGCTTCTGGATAAGCAGGCACCACTTTGTTTGGCATTCAGTCTCCAAAACCACAAATAGTAGTTGACGTATAGATGCCCAATAAATATTTGTTGAGCGAATGTTCTCTAGGTTTGCTAACGAATGAACTCATGAATTTTGTAATCTGTACAGTGTAGGCTTGTGAGTTATTTTGAATTCCCTGAGTTGTAGTTTAGAAAGTGAGGCTCTGAGCAAGTAAGAGTCTTAAGACACCTGACAAGATAAGGAACGAACCCCAGAATGAAAATTCCATGAGGGCAGAGTTTGCATTGTTTTTTCAACACGTAATCCCTACTGGTTGGCCAAATACATGGCACATAGTAGGCACTTAATAAATACTTGTTAAATGGAGACATGGAACTTGTTAATACTATTTTTTTTTTTGTATTTCCAAGTGTAGGAAGGGGTTTCCATCTTATTGACAGATACATATTTTTACAAATCTGTATAAATTTTACTTTATAAATAAAAATATAAAGCAAAAAGGGAAATGATAATTTTAGAAAATAGTGCAGCATATATGAGAAAGTATTAAAAACCTTGAGGGGAAAAGAGTTCTTATAAGTAAAAGGGGTTAAATAAAAAGGACTACCATTTCCAAAGAAAGATAAGCAATTCCCAAAAGAAGAAACAGAAAAAGCCAATAAATGTATGAGAGATACTGATCCTCTGAGTGATTTTTTTGTACATTAAAGCAAAGGAATCATTTTTCTCCCATCAGATTGACAAAGAAAAAAAAAGACTGACAACTCAGTGTTATCGAGGGTATGAAGAAATAAGACCTGTCATATACTACTGGTGTGAAGATAGATTTATGCCACCTTCCCGGGGGCGGCAGCGGGGGGGGGGGGTGCAATATAAATCAAAATTTCAAATGTATTGTTGCTTTAACCCAGAAAGTGCACTTGGAGAAATTTATTTTATAAAAATATTCAGACAAGTTCAAAGATATGTATGTACAAGGCTGTAATAATACAAAATTAAATAAAAAGGAAAAGAACTACCCAGGTACCAGTATTGATACCCTTATGACATGTTTAAACAATGGAGTATCGCGAGGCCAGTGCAGACCGTGTTGACATGGGGAAATGGGTCACAAAATACTAAGTGAAAGAAGCCAGCCACATAATGAAAATGTTCTAAAACAGGATTGTGGTAATGGTTGCACAACTCTGTAAATTTGCTGAACATCACTGAATTGTACACTTAAAAATGCAGATTTTAGAGTATGGAATTTATACTTCCATACAGCTGTTTAAAAATATAAGAAGTTGGTTACAAATTAGTATGTCGAGTATGAATCTCAGTTTTGTTTGAAACACACATACACATACTATGCCAGGAAGGGTATATTCCCCAGTAATAATCGAGGTCACCCTGGGTAGTGGTGGTGGTGGTTTTCCCTCTTTTCTGAATTTCTTGCAATAAGCTTGTAGAATCAGGAAAAAACACAACTATTTCAAACACACCAAATAACCTGTGGGTAAAGTATAATCTGGAATCAACCTAATATCAACATCAAACATTTCATGGCCACCTTAATTTGTGCCAGATTCTTTTTTATAATTTGCCTCAAATCTCTTCTGCTCTGGCATCCTATTTTGCCATCTTGCCCAGAACAACGTATCTTATCTTTGGAAAAATTTATACTCCAGATAGAGCTGGAAGCAGTAGTGTTTCTACCCAGGGAAGGGGTTTCTCCCGCTCCCAGTTGGGAGCTTTTCCCTATGCAGTCTGCCATAGCTCACATGAAAATCCCCAAGAGCCCTTTCTGCTCACATTCGGTTTCTGTAGCAATCTGGGGAATTGATTATGCTCATGCCTATTCTCCAGGGCTTTTCAAAAATCTTTATTTTTAAATGAACTCATTTGGCTTTTTTCTTACACCATTATATATGGTTCTCAGTGTGGCCTGTGGGTCATTGGTGGTCCGTGAGAATCCTTCGGGGGCCTCTTGAATTAACACTCAGATATGCACGTGTAGCTTTCTGGTTTTGGCTTGAAGTTAAATTTGAAATGTCACTGAATACAATCCAGATATGACCTCACTGGTCCCTCATCCAGTGCAGTGGTATTCATCATCTCAGTGAGTGTTTTGCAAGGGCAAGTGGGGCCAGGTGGGTTTGAGGCTGCAGAAGGACTCTTGCTGTAAGGACTCTAAGGACAGAAACATCATTCTGCGAACATACTCAGACCCAGATGCCACTTACAGGAAACTGATATGACCAGCCATCACATTCAAAGTGGCCACATGAAGGAAGAACTCTGAGAAAGAGGCACAGAGGACCCGTCAAATCTGAAAAACTGTCACAGGGTAATGAATCTTCCCCAAAGCTTTCAGGATCTGCACTAATTTGGCAACTCACATTGCGAGCATCACCTAACAACCGCAGAGACAGAGACTGCCAAATGTTTATGGCCAGACGCAAAGAAGAAAATGCAAAGTGTCCTGCTCCACCACAGGAGTGGCGTTCTGCTACATCTTGGGGAGAATGCAGGGGAGCAAATACTCCATGGACACGGATGGAGGCAGAGGTTTGCCCCTGCTTCCTCCCATGAGACCCAGGCCTGTGGCCAGGAGCCGATTCACACAATATATGTCTCAGCCTAAATCAGAGACATCACCCCAAAAGAAAGGAGAGACTGGACACAAATCCTATCAATATGGTTTATTAAATGAACAGTTCAATGTACGAAAACAGCCTACTTCTTTTCCAACAGTCAGGTTAGAAGTTGGTAACTCCTGTTCCTTCAGGGAGACCTCATTCGTGTTCATTCGGACACAGAACAAATCTCAGAAAGCCTGGCGCACCTGCCCTCAGGACAGGTCGAGAGACCCAGACAGTGGATCTGTGGAAATACATGCTTCCGGGAGCAGATGTGCAGTCTCTGAATTCCTGTCGCCTTTCGTGCAGGCCGAGGAGGAGGGAAGGGAGGCCAGCACCCGAGGGAAAGTTACATTCAAGTTGGTAAATTGGGGGCGTCACCCAGGGAGAGCGTGGCTGCGCCCAGCCGGCGTGGGAAGCACAGAGCAGAGCGGAGGATGAACTTGATCGGAAGCCACGGTTCTCAGGCCGGCTCCCGGCTTCTCAACCTTTAGCTCAGTGGCTCAGGGGCTCCAGGCGAGTTGCTTGCTTAATTTCCACCTGCTCCTCAGTCTCCTCACCTGAGAATGGGGCACCCATCCCATGGGACTGTTGTGAGAACTGATGGAGTCAAAACACATCTGGAAGAGTCTAGGAACACTGCCTAACACAGAGTAAGCTCTTCACACGTTTGCTAGGATCACTATCTGGAGAGCTTCAAGATTTGGAACAAAAGAGAAAAAGAACCCACTCTCAGATGGGGATGGTGTGCAACCTGTGTTTGATGAATTCTGAAGGCTACTGTGAGCCTGAGGGGACCATGAAA